TGGGAATGGAGGCAAAAGTGCTCACGATGAAATTCAGGCCGCCTGACCTCAAGGTCAGTCTCTACCCCTACATTTCACCGTCATCGATTTCTGTTTAGTGTGTAGAAGTTGGAAGTCGTTGGGCATGGTATAGTAATTGTACATTTAGTTCTGGCTGACTGAGTACTTAGGGCAAACATCGTAGTGTGGAAGGGAAGCCCATAATTAGCACATATTAATGGCTCTCACTTTCACTGAACTATATTTTCTGTTCTAGAGTCACAGATGCTGGGGAGTCCAAGGCCCAAGCAGGAGGCTCCGGGGGAGACGCAAGCACAGTGGCACTGAGAGTGGATGTGGGGACTGTGCTGGCGGGAGAGCTACCCTGATGTCTGACCGTGCGGAGGGCCACCTAGTCAAGAGCCACCCTCACACACAACCGGTTGGGGGGTGGTGGGCACGTTAGGCAGAAAAACCAAACACCTGTGGTTTCCTAGATCTTTGTGAGCTTGTTCCTCTATGGATCCCCCTCTGTTTCCCATGTTAGGGTGTAGTTGTGTGCCCTGCAACCTAACCTCGTGAAGACCTGTCTTGCTTCTGGGCCCCTGCTAGGCAGTACTCCGTGTTCTACACATAGTGATTCTTCGGTTGTCCTCCCCAAGATCAAAGGTGAATCTCCTCTCTTCCATCCCGAGGACTCAGTAGCAGCCACCTGAAGCTGCGCCAGCTGCCGAGAAAATAGACCGTCGCGATGAATGATGCTTTAGTGTGCTCGAATTTGGGATTCCACGCTCGTCATCATCATTGATTATAGAAAACTCTCATCCTGTTCTAATCTGTTAACTTTAATCCCCTTTCTCTGGTTCATTATTTTAGCCTTCCCAGTTTTATTCACAATATAATAGATATTTTGGTGATGACAGCAAGTGAAATTAGAATCGATAGAGTATGCTGTGATGGGTACTACTATAGTGAGGTGGTGGATAAATGATGAGGTGAACAAGAACTATGATAGGGTCTCCAGTTTTCCTCTGAGAATGGAGCTAGTGGTGTGGAGGGAGGACACTGCCTGGCCACTGTCTGCGACGAGACTGTGCTCATGCAGCATGTAGCGAAGTCTGGTTCACCGGGGAATGTGCACGACCTCTGTACAACAGATCAGTAGTCAATACGGTCATGTAAAACAGTACATTAACTCTTGGTTCTCACGCACCACGTGTGCACACGTTACATAGATTCGCTACAGAAGGGAGTGTTGAATAAAATCAAAGTAAGCTAGTTTGCTTCTGGTAGATTTGTAAGCAACGTTTGTCCACAGTGGGCGACCTCATCCGTGTGTATACATGACTTGGGTCTACTGTGATTTGAAATAATTTGTGTTTCACATGAAGCTTGAACCACACATGTTCGTGTTGTGTTGTAGTACACATGATGTTTCCAAAAGATGGATTGCACAATGGGCGTTCTGAAATCCCAGAACTGAAATTAGTAGTGAAGTGATAAACACGAATGTGATCAAGCAGCTGTGTACCTCAAAGCAGATGTGCTACCATGAATGAATCTTGAAGGTTTTTGTGCAAGTGTCCACTGTTTCTTTCTCGTTTTTTTGTCTGCAGTTGCTCAATGGCATGTATGCCACAGCACACCTGCTGCCTTGTAGAGTAAAGAAGTCACTGCCATTTCCCCATGCCCATGACTCTGACGAAACACTTCTTACAGTCAATCGTTCCCACTCATCCACCCACGCCAGTTCACCGAAAAACCTTTGTGAAGGTCACTCACTCATGGAATGGGGCAACTCATAGTTGGATGGTGAAAGTTGTATATACATGTGCAAATACATACCATACCTTACAACACAGCCAGAAAAGCATCGGGGCGTGTAGAGATTCACCACCCAACTGTGTCATTTCCCAGTGCTTACGGCGCCTGACCCTGAAAAACCTGAAGCTATTGTCCACTCACTGCCCATTGATAGTTGTATATACAACTGGGAGTCAGGGCATTTGCCGGCCAGAGCTAGTGTCAATACATTCACTTATTCATAGTCTGCACGCTATTAAAACCCAGCACCGCAAACCCAGTCTTTCACTTCCAATTTTTCTCCCTCCCCCAGATCACCAGTTTCTTTTTTCATTTCCTCTTTTTGTCCACATGTGCCCCCCTTTCCTCTTCACTTTCCTCCACTTTTCTTTTTTTCCCCTGTTTCTCTTTCCTTCACCCAGCTTTTTTTCCCTTTTCAGTGGTATCTATTTTCCGACATTTTTTTACTCGTCTTTTAATTCTTTGCTGCCATGAGCCCTTTTCTCCCCCCCCATCCCCCCATTCTCCTATCCCCCCGGTTCCTCCCCTTTCTCTCACTTACCTCTCATCTACCCCATCCCCCTGACTTCAAGGGTTCTACCAACCCCCCCCAAAGGACCTCGCCCCTCCCCCTTGCTCCTTCCAATTGTTTTCTGTTGCACTTTCCCACCTTCCCAAGGGGTCCCCAACCCATCTTACACCCCAACGCTGTGCAGCCAAAGGAACCCCCTCCCAAGTACCCCCTCAGCGGCCTTTGAGCTCCCCCTAAACTCGCCGGATTTAATAATACAACCTGCTACTTTCAGACAGCCGTCCTCCAAGGCCGGAAAAAACTCACAATAAAGCCAACAACTCACCATGCTTATAGACCAGCGGGGTATCCCATGATCGCTCATCACTACCACCTAGATAGCCCACATCCACATCCCAAATAAGTGCTCAAAATGGGCCCATACATACGTATATCAAGTTGCCCTTACATTCCTTTCATCCCCCGAAAAATAGAATAGTTCCTTAATGGACAACTTAATGAAATGAAAGGAAAAAGGCTAATGACCCCACTAAAGGGAAAAGATTACAGGATGATAATCAAGGGCGTCACTAAGGGTTAAGTAATCTCATAAAATAAAACAACTTGACCGTAATATAAACAGCAAAACATAACACAGCAACCAAAGCGACGGTAAATTCAAAGGTAAGTTAATAAAGGGGCGTAAGCGGCTTCACTCCCCCTAAAGCGTAAATACATAACGGCGTTCTATTACGGAACACTTTACCCTTCCCCCCAACTTTAATACAAAATCTCCCTAATTCAAAAGCGAATTAAATTTAAAAAAAATAGCACAAAAATCTAGTATGTACTACAGTATCAGGCGATAAGGAAAGCAAAGGACCAAAAGGAAAGGAAACGAAACCAAAGGGAACAAAGGTAAGAGAACAATCAAAACCTCACTCAAAACTAAGGCTCCAAAAAAAGGACACACCACCAAGGCCAATACACCAAAGGTAAAAGCCTCCACAAACCAAAAAGGGAAAAACTTACAGAACAGGGGGGCAAAAAACAGCCAAAAGGTCAACCAGCCAAGCAACACAGTTGGCCCCCACAGTGGGTACCCAGTTGGTGGTGAATCTCTACACTCCCCGATGCTTTCTGGCTGTGTGTGTATGTATGTATGTATGCATATATGTATATACAACTTTCACCATCCAACTATGGATATTGCCCAGATTCCAATTAGTGAGTGCTTACCAAAGGTTTTCGTGACTGGCTGGGTGGATGGAGTGGGAAAGAGTGACTGTAGTAGGGTTTTCAGAGTCAGGGCTGTGGGAAATGGCAGTGATTCTTTACTCTACAATGCAGCAGGTGTGCTGTGGCATACATGCACATGTGAGCAAACTGCACAGTGTACAACTTGCACAAAAACCTGCAAGATTCATTCATGGTAGCACATCTGCTTGAGGTAGCACATCTGCTTGATTCACTTCGTGTTTATCAGCTTCCACTACTAAGTTCAGTTCTGGTATTTCGAGACGCCCAATTGTGCAATCCATCTTTTGTAAACATCATGTGAACTACAACACACACTGAACATGTGTGGTGCAAGCATCAAGGAAACACAAATTATTTCACACAGTAGACACCAGTCAGTGTATACACACTATGGGTCTCCCACTGTGGACAAACTTGCTTACAAATCTACCAGAGGACTTCTTACTTTGATGTTTCACTCCCTTCTGTAGCGAATTACGTAGTGTGCACACGTGGTGCGTGAGACCAAGAGTTAATGTACTGTTGTTACATGACCGTATTACTAATGATCTGTTGTACAGAGGCGTCAGCAGGCCCAGGTGACCAGACTTCGCAGACAGCTGCAGGAGGCACAGTCTCGGCGCAGACAGTGGGCCAGGCAGGTGTCCTCACTCCACACCACTATCTCCATGCTCAGAGGAAAACTGGAGGACCTATCATAGGTCTTGTTCACCTCTCATTTATCCACCACCTACTAGTATAGTATGTACACCATCACAGCATACTTATCGACTTATAATTTCACTTGCTTTCATCACCAAAATATATATTATAGTTGAATAAAACTGGAAAGGCTAAAATATGACCAGAGGAAAGGGGATTAAAGTTACAGAATAGAAAGGATGAGAGTTTTCTATAATCAAGTGATGATGATGACGTGGATCCCAAATAGAGCACACTGAGCAAGTCATTCATCTCGACGGTCTATTTCTCGGCAGCTGGAGCAGCTTCAGGTGGCGGAGACTGAGTCTCGGGGATGGAAGAGAGGAGATTCACCTTTGATCTGGAGGAAGGAAAACGAAGAAATCACTATGTAGAACACGGAGTACTCTAGCAAGGGCCCAGGAAGCAAAGACAGGTCTTCACGAGGTAGGGGTGCAGGGCAGCTACACCTACACCCTAACATGGGAACAGAGGGGATTCCATAAAGGAACAGCTCACAAAGAGAGAGGAAACCACAGGTGTTTGGTTTCTGCCTAACGTGCCCACCACATCACCAACCGGTTGTGTGTGAGGTGGCTCTTGACTAGGTGGCCCGCAGCAAGGGCAGACATCAGGGAGAGCTCTCCAGCCAGCACAGCTCCACACACCACTCTCGCCAGCTGTGCTGCGTTCTCCCCCGGAGCCTCCTTGTTGGGTCCTTGGACGCCCAGCATCTGTGAATCAGACAGGAAAATAGAGTTTCAGTGAAAGTGAGATGCAATTAAATGTGCTAATTATTTGCTTCCCTTCCACGAACTACGATTTGCCCTGAAAGACTCAGTCAACAGAACAAATGTACAATTACTATACCAGAGCCAAACAGACCTGGCCAACTTCTACACAATAAACAGAAATCGATGACGGTGAATGTAGGGGTAGAGACTGACCTTGAGGCAGGCGGCCTGAGCAGGGAGCACGGTGCCTCCACCCACCGTCCCCAGCTCCAGGGAGGGCATGGTGACAGAGATGTGCAGATCCTCTCCAGACGAACCTCCTTTCTCTGTGAGAGTGATGCAGTTGGAGCTGCCCACCGTCTGAGCTGGATCCTGCACAAATCAACAACCAGCTTAAACACAAACCACGTTCCGTCATGCTCGCAACTGACAGTACACTTCTAAATGCATATACACAAGAAACTGTGCAACAATGCAAGCTACAAGTAGATGTCTTAAAATAGGTTCGATGTCAGGTAGACTTAACCCATCTGCCAGGGAGCTCACCTGTCCAGTGGCAATAAAGATGGCGCACACAACATTGGCTGCGTGGGTATTGAAGCCTCCCACTGACCCAGCCATGGCTGACCCCACCAGATTCTTGCACACATTCAGGTCCACCAGTGCCTCCACGGTGGTCTTCAATACCTGCACATGTGGGACACATGCACCTCACACAAGGTTTCGACGCATACAGATCACCCCTATACCTCCACCCACCACAGTGAGGTGGGTCTATTGAGTGAGGCCCTGATCTCGCTCACCTGTCTGACTGTCACTGCTGGTACAGTGGCTTCACACACAACCGACTTCCCCACGCCCCTCAATCCAATTCATGGCCGATGGCTTCTTGTCCGTGCAATAGTTTCCGCTCAGACTAATTACCTCCATCGTGGGGAAGAGCCTTGAAATTACTCCTAACGATTTCTCCGTCCCCTGTGGACGCATGCAGCAGTAAACAATCAAACACAGGGATCTTGTAGCGATTACAACAACTACAGTAATCAGATAAGATTTACAATAGATTCACACCTTGGAGAGCATGTTCATGCCCATGGCGTCTCCGGTCGTGGCCTTGAACCTGATGAACAGGAGTCTCCCCGCCACAGCGGCATGTATCCCCACTAGTTTGGCGAACCCACTGGTGCTGTTGAACGCCTCGGCCACAGTGGGGAAGTTGGCTCTCTTGTCCAGCCACAACTTGGCTCGACTCGCCTCTGCAGCCGACGGGAATCGCACAACTGGTCCCCGCGTCATTCCGTCACCGAGGAGATGAGATTTGACTCCCCCGCTGAGAGCCAACGCCCGGCAACCGCGATTCGTGCTCGCCACCAACGCCCCCTCTGTCGTTGCCATAGGAACGTGGAAGTACTCCCCGTTGAGTAGGAGTGGTCCGGCGACGCCCACAGGGACGGGCATGTACCCAACAACGTTCTCGCAGCAGGCTCCCATCACCTTTGAGAAGTCGTAGTGGAGATATGGGAGGTTGGAGAGACAGGAGGCAGAGTCTGGGGCCAGCTGTTGTGTGATGAGTTTCCTCCGAATGGCCACGCCCCTCTCAGGGTCTCCGAGAGCAGACTCAAGTTTGTAGGCTGGGATGTGTTTCCCCTCCACCAGCTGTAAGATCTCCACGTCAGACAGAGACACTGGGCCAGCCTGCAATACACACACAACGTAATTCAGGACTGAAATATTCCACAAATTGCCTATACATATGCAACAAACTGCTGGGGAGTTAAATTCACAAAAACACATGCAGTGATTCGTGGAAACTTTTCTACTGAGCAAAGGCCTGGAAAGAGGAAGGACTTACATCAGATTGGAAGATGGAAAGGCACTCTGCGACAGGTCTCGGAGGCCTCTCTTCTCCTCTCTTCCTCCCATCCTCCTCCTCCTCCTCTCCCGTCGTCACCTCGTCACCAGAGGCACCCACTCCACTGGTGTCACTGCCGCTGAGACTGTTCTGACGCAGCGCAACAAACACCCCACCCTCCTCGGCCACCGTCTGCACTGCCACAGAGGAGAACATTATCTCTTGCCTCCCATCTGGACCAGCACCGAGGGCCGGCAGACTCTCTCTCTCCACAGAAACAGCCACATTCACACCACAGCCGGAAATGCCCGGAGAGCCATTGAGTAGTGTTAGTGGAGACTGAAGGGTGGGGAGGACTCCATTAGATGCTGTGGACGATGATATTGAGGTTTGATTGAGGGGCTCAGTGAGATGGGGACATTCCTCAGAGTAAGTGGTGGAACTGCCAGAGTTGGTTGTGTGTCTCTGTCGAACTGCGGGTCCATCGCTCATCTTGATCGGGCAGGCAGGGACAGGGGCGGAGTCAATAGGCGGGGCCGATGACGATGGAGCGGGAGGGACGCTCGTTGCGAAGGTGGTGGACTTGTCGAGAAATATGTACTTCACAAAGAGAACAGCAGACAGAGCCAGTGTCACAATCTAGAGCAACACACACACAAAAAAGGTGAAGATCAATTAACTCCAGCACATTCGGGGTACGAAAGTAGTAGGTTTAAAGACACGCTGAAGACGACAACAGTGAGGTAAGGCACACACACATTGAACATGATCCAGAGGGAACAAAAGTTCAATGAAGACACATGGTATTAGAGAAGAAAGGGGGTAAGATGTTCACGTACTTGGTCTCCCGAGAGGTTGAAGGCTTTCCACAGGAGGTACTCCTGGAGGGGGACTTTAACCATCTCGTCACTGGGAAGCCGCTGCGTCAGTTGAGAGGTCGTCCCCAGTTGTGTGGGGAGCCAGGCCGAAGGAGAGTCCAGTGATCCCGGAGAGGAACCAGCCATGGAGGTGGACGAAAGTGAGTCCCAGAGCCATGATGATCTTGACTCTCTGGACCACTGGGTTGGGCTTCTTCTGCGCCTCTTCCTCCTGCATGTCCCTCGCCAGTTCGTCCAGCTGCCACGTGGTACTGTTTGGATCGTAAGGTGACACCTGGGGGAGAGAGAAGGAGCCCAGATAACATGCAGATGCTCTGATTTCTTTCAATAGTTTCTTTCTTCATGCCTTCATTGTAAATTGAAAACATCAAAATGCTTCAAAATATGTGTTTGTATATATTAGCATCTATATATACCTCCATGACGAGAGATAGAGAGGCCGGGAAGAAAGTCATGAACACCACGAAGTTGGCAAAGATGGACATGGCGCCAAACCAGCAGACAATCTCCAGTCTCTGAGAGCCCGATATTGTCCCTATCCCTATTAGGAGCCCCTCCACCAGGGTGTCCAGCGTCATGTTGGGTCCGAGAACCGAGAGACCGCGACCTATGTTCTTGAGCACCTCATCCTAGTCAAGAGACAGGGACAACCATGATATAGAGTATATAGAGTATAAAGACCAGCAACATACTTGTCGCATGCTGCATAAGACAAAAGACTCTGTACATACATACATACATACATACATACATACATACAGTACAATGTATGGGTATGATGGGCCAGCGCAAATAAATTGCCAATTGCATGCGTTCAATGGATCATCATACAAGTAGCATGAGACGTGTATGTTGGCCATAAGAGAGTATGGGGAGACTGACTTTGTTTCTTGATCTGAAGGCAAAGCTGGCCAGAGCCCGTGCCTTGGACAGGTCAATGAGGAGCAGGAAAAACGGCAGAGCCTCGCTGGATAAACAAAGAGAGAGAAACACAGTCGCTGGTTATTGTAGAACACACCACATTCCTTTACGGTAACCCTGGAAACCAAATGTCACCCCAGATGGGACCACGTACGCATGTATTCATGTCGGTCCATCCCATCACATCACCTGAATATGCTAGAACGTACATACATCCTGCACGTGCAACCCATCGCCCAACACAGTGTATCACGGGTGGCATGAGGTGACTTGTTCACGAGAATCATGGGGACAGACTCCCGGGTGTTCCCACGGATGGTATGAGTGTATGTGAGATCACTGGAGGAGTCTCACCTGATGCCAGATGCCCTCTTGTCCACTATCAGGTTCACCACTCCGCTGCCAAACACAAAACTGGCAAAGATCGTGAACAGCCCAGCGATACCTACACACACCAACACACAAATAAAGAGGGTCCCCCCACATAATATCACGTATATTATTTATAATTGTGCAATGTGAACCCAGGACATCCTTGAAAGGAGGACTCCAACATGAGCATTTTAACAAGGAACCCCACTAACAAAGTCTGCACAGGTAATTAGAGGGATTCCACTGTCTAAAAAGGTGGGTGTGTAGGAAAAGACTAACTGAGGAGGTATTTGGACCCTGCCTTCCTGAGACTGCTGAACTGATTGTAGACATAGATGACTGCCAGGCTGTTGATCATCGCCAGGAGAACCACATCCGACGTCTGTTTCAGAAACGAAAGTACATGTAAAGGGGATATCAGCGTCTCTATTGGGACGCTCAATCCTTACCTCTTCCTCTTCCTCTTCCTCGCACTGCTTATTGAGGCCACAGAACGTTCCAACCTTCCCTCCGCTCAGGACGCCGATAGACAGCATGCACACGGTGAGTGTCACGACGCTTACTATCACCTCCCACGGATGGCGGGCACAAAACTGGCCGTGGGCCCTGAAGTACCGGGCCAGCTTCGCCTTCAGGGGGTTCGAGGAGCGCGTCGTCGATGTCTCGGCCATCTTCACACAGTGGAGTGTCTTCCTGGCTCTCCTAGTCCGAGTATAAAAGCCAAAAAGCTAGCCCATCGTACCACCTTCCTCTCCCGATATCGTGGATGATAAACATGTGCACGTCACGCGATGAATCTATTTTTGGATATGGGCTTGCGTGCGTTACTAAAAATAGAACACCAGCAAGTGATGCATTATTCATCAAAATTGCTAAGCAACCAGTCAATATTTTTTTGCAGCAGACATAGAATTTAATCTCCTATTCTCCCTATAGAAATCCCTAGTTAGCAGGCTCCCCACGTCAGCCTCTGGACATGATCAGTCTTTCGCTGTGTGGGCTTCACAAAGCCCAGCAGCTGTAGCTCTGACACAGCCTGAATGAATCGAGCTCTGGGGGGAGGGGGGGGGGTCAAGAAAATATACATACACATGAAAAGCTGCAAGTGAGGAATGGGTTAAAGATTCTGTAGAGTTGGATCAGTGAGAAATGGGTTAAAGATACTGTAGAGTTGGATCGATGTCCTCTTTCCGGCCCTTGCCCCTCTCCAGATTGGTCAATTTCTCTGCGGCGGCAGGGTCGACAACGGACACAAATGAGCAAAGCCAGTCAAACAGGTTTATAAGTCGGCCACACTCCAAATGTAACTGGTAGACAATGCAGACGTCGGGCATGTTTGGAGATAACCTACTGTGCTCTGACACACTGGTCGCAGACTGCAGAGGGTTAATTAAAGAGGGTTAAAGATGGAGGAAGAAAGAGGTTAAACTCACTGGGAGGTAGAAGGTAGGTTTAGTTAGAGCAACATGTAGAGAGGCTCTAGGAGCTGGGGAGAGATGCTGAGTGCGGGAGAATTGAAGTTACTGCTGATTTTCAACCCACACCTTTCTCAAAGAAGAGGAGTTGTTGAAGTAGCAAACTTCATGAAATGGTAACATTTGAGGCGGGATCAAGCCTTCCCTGGGGACCGGGTCATGTGATGCTTGTACTGAGTCACATGATTGTCACATGACTCACTGGAAGCAAGGTAGCAACCCCTCAAGGAGAGTTGTTCTGGCTTTTTCGAAAGCAGACGGTTCCCTCTTCCGACTTGCCATCTGCCTCAGACGCTGAAGCAAAGAGGAGAAAAAATGGAGCCGGAGAAGAACGGAGGTTGAGACATTTTACCTCATGAAACATCATTTTCCTTTCGCTGGTGGTGAGGGGTTCACGTGGTATTGACTCTACCTCCTCTTCCCTTTCTCCTGGATAATTACACCAGCAAGAGAGTTGGTAGATGAGCCGTGACTTGAATGAAACACTCACCGGCTGCCTGCTGAGCCTCTTTGTCAATTCTCTCCAACTCGGCTAAGAAACGTCTCAGTACTTGTAGAGTTTGCAATACAAGAGAGTCTTGTGATGCGTTCAGTGACGTATTGAGAATTGTAATAGATTTTTCTACAGCTGCAGTCAATGCTTCTCTTCCCATCATTCTGTTTAGACCATCCATAATGTAGAGATCACCTCAACTTTATACTTCTTACTTGACTAAACTCCATGCCGTGTCGAACTTGCTGTGCTCCACGATATGCCTTTCCATGCACATGAGAAGTACATCATGTAGCTACAGAGAGAGAGGGCGTGTCAGAACGATACACAGTTAGTTACGGAAAGGACTAATGACATCACCTTCCTCCCGAGAGGGGCAGTAGGCAAGCTCTCAGTGAGAATGTGAAGAGAAAGCAGCAGAGGAGGAAAAGTCTGCCGGTGTTCCCTGAGCCTCTGTAGCTGTTCCATAGCCACCTCCTATGCCAGAAGCAGAGATGCAAAATTTTACTGCATGCGGTAATTTTTTTAATTTACTCAACCTTGAGGGGCTTATCTTCTGTTAGAAGTCGTATTTGCTCAGCCGGGTCAGTCAAACCTTCTACATACCTTTCAGAATAAGACACATACAGTGTATACAAGACATGAAAGAACATTAATTTTTCTGACTTTCTAAACGAGGGTGTGGCTCTGATCATTTCACACTGATTGTTATTCAGGGTACCGACGACTGAATCCAGGTCGTCCCATTTCCCGATCAGGAAACTGAGAGGCTGCCAGTGGAAATGCTCCAGCATGGACATCTGAACAAGAACCAAACGACGTTTCTGGTGGTGAATTATGTTTGGTGTGAGGTCTAACCTGCAGTGTGCGTGAGAACTGATAGACAGAGAGAGAGCAGCAGAGAAACTGGTGCAGCAGGAACTGCAGTGCCTGGTGGCCAAGATGTAACGGGAGGCCAGGGGAGAGGAGAACCTGGAGGAACAAGGGAGGTATAAAGGTAAGGAAGGAGGGAGCGTGTCCTCTATACTTGCTGTATGAGGTGGGTTAGTGTGCCAATGGAAGAAGGAGCTGAAAACTGCTCCACACAGAGCAGGGAGGAGGAGGAGCGAGGGAGGGAGCGGATGGCAGCTGCAGAAGTCGCCACACTCAGGATCAGAACCACTGGCAGCGTCCCCAGATGAGGGCTGCATAATGTAAGATGGCCCGTAGTATTTTTTTGTGTTTTACCGAGACATAAGTAGGCGTGTTTTTCTGATGAAGTGAGGGCCAAAGATGGCTGGTGTGAGAGTTGAGAGTCAGCGTTCCTTGGAGAATACGCTGCTGTATACCACCAGCGCTTCGTCTTCAAGCCGCCAGACCAGTTTGAGCTCTGGAACAACCGATCACTTGCGGACACTAACGTCTAATCTGCGATCCTCGGCGCGGGAGGTGCGCGGTACCGCCCCGACCCGCTCGGTTTTCTCGTCCAACCTCACTCCACACACCTCGTCCTTGCTCCAGGGTAAAGGACGCGGTGGGGCAGGGACGCCCGGCCTCCTCACCCAACAGAAACCCCTGTCGACCCTCGGTTCTAGAAGCAGTCTCGCGAGCAGCTCGCTCACACAGCAGAGATCGTCTCTCTCGACCCTCAGAACCACTTCCACTGCAGCCTCTTCCAGTCTTCTTAGCTCCACTACTGCTGCAAGAAATCTCACAAAATCGGGCCTTCTATCGTCAAGTCTTTTGACTAGAAGTTCGGTAGAGAGCAAGCTGACATCAGCATCCCTTCTCACCTCAAAGAAACAGACTTCTCCTGGAGTCGCACGGAAACCAACACCGCCGCAGCTGGTGTCAGGAACAAAGACTTCTCTTTTCTTTTCAACCACAGCCTCTCCCCAGCTGAGGAAGTCTGGATCGCTTTTGTCTTCCTCGACTGGGAAGGTCTCACCGTCCAAACTCCTCTTGTCTTCCCAGCTCACCAGAACCTCTCTGTCAAAGAGCACCCTACACTCCAGTTCAGGAGGTCTTCTAAAGAAGGTGCAACCCACTGCTTCAAAACTTTCATCATCAACGTCAACGTCGAATGAGGAGAAGGAAAAACGTGTCGTAGTCGCAACAGCAGCGAGGCCTGTCACCGAGGAAACAGAGGGGGCCCCTGTGTACAAATTCAAATCCGAGGAAGCGCTGGTTCACCAGAGAGAGAAATTCCTGCCCCCTGAAATCGATGCAAACGTTCAGGCCCCACTTGCACCTGTTGGGGAGATAGTTCAACTGAAGACGACGGTGATAAATGCCGTGGCAACGTCACTTCTCTGCAGCCCGGACTTCAAGAGTCTGTCCGACCCAACTCGTCAGAACCTCACGAAACTCGGCGAACAACTCTCCAATCGTGACCCGGAGTTCATCCTGAAAGTCGCTCTATACACGCGAAACGATCTCAACATTCGAACGACGGCAAATTTCCTCCTTGCGTTGGCCTCAAACTTACAAACCTGTCGACCTTACCTCCGCAAGTACTACTGCGCCAGCATCCGTCTCCCCTCCGACTGGATTGAGGTGGCTGAAGTGTACCAGACATTTCATGACAAGTCACTCAACTTTGGCGCACTCCCGACCGCACTTCGCAAGGTAATGGCCTCCAAGTTTGTTGAGTTTGACGTCTACCAGTTGGGCAAGTACAACAAGGACAAGTCGAAGAAGAAGGAGAAGAAGGTCGAGAAGAAGAAGAAGGATAAAGGTGAAGAGGGAGGTGAAACGAAAGACGATTCTGTCGGCCCTCCACAGAGATCCGATACCAGCACGACCGTTGAGAGCGAGCTGAGTGTAGCCGTTCCCAGCGACACAGAGACGGAGGAAGAAGTGGAACGACTCAGCTTCACACTGAAGCAGCTAATCCGGAAAATCCACATCTCGGAACCAGTTGAACCGGTCATGTGTCTCCTGGGAAAGAAGTACCCTGAAGACCCCGAGACCTTCCGTAGAAGTCGCCTACCTGGGACCTGGGAAGAGGAGCGTGCGGGGAAGAGGATGAAGCTAGCGACCCCAGAAACGTGGGAGACAACGGTCTCGCTGCACGGCAACAAGGCCGGTACGTGGGAACAGCTCATCGATCACAACAAGTTGCCGTTCATGGCGATGCTGCGGAATTTACGGAATCTCATAATTGCCAATGTCTCACAGAGCCACCATCGGTGGGTGCTGGGAAAACTCAATGACGAGAGAGCCGTTGTCAACAGTCGGCAGTTTCCGTTTCGCTTCTTCTCCGCGTACGAAGTCATCGCTGAGCTGGAAAAGATTGCAGACGGTGAAATACCTCCGAAATACAAACCAAGAAAAGGGAAAAAAGCACCAAAACCTCCTCCAAAGGTAGACAGGGAGCTACTTAAGCGCTATCGCTCGGCACTCGACAATGCTCTCAAGATTGCCACCTCGTACAACGTGAAGCCCATCAGTGGATCCACACTCATCCTGTGCAACGTTGGAAGCAACATGAACCGATCCTGCACGTCTGCACGAGGCCTCGGAAAACCACGCACGGTCCAAGAAGTGGGAATTCTCCTGGGGTTGATGTGCAAGTACTCGTGCGAACAGTGCACCATGATTGTGTATGGAGAGAGCAACCACGCTCAGGTGCAGCTGAAGGAAGGAACAATACTCCACAACATGGAGCACGTGCAGCAAGTTTCAGTGGAGCAGAAACTCACAGAGAGCGAGGGAGTAATTCCTACAAAGATCCTGTACAACATGCTGGTGAGTCGATCGCCAGTTGACAACATTGTCTTACTGACGGATGCAATGAAACTGTACGATTCCCAAGGCCGCGAAATGATGGACTTCCTTCAGAAATACCGCCACATGGTGAACCCTGACCTCCTGTTTGTGAGTGTCGACCTCAGTGGGAGATCGAGTGGGATATCTGGCACGATTCATCCAGAGCACAAGAATGACGTCTACCTCGCTGGGTACTCAGATCAGATCCTTCGTTTCATCGCAGAGAGGGGAGACAGTGGACAGTTGACGTACGTGGACAATATCGACAAGGCTTACAACCTAAAGGAGCTACCGAGGTCGGCACTGTTGAGCCAAGAAGCCGCCTCCTCACGTACAGCCACCACGTCACTTTCTGCAGAGAAAGCTCTGCTGGCTTCGACGCAGCGACAGAAATGGAGAACGGTTCGTGTCTTCATCTCTTCCACCTTCAGGGACATGCACGGAGAGAGAGACCTGCTCACGAGGTTTGTGTTTCCCGAACTGCGAGCCCGTGCCCACTCCAGGCAAATCCAGTTGTACGAGATTGACCTGCGCTGGGGAGTAACGGAGGAAGACACACGGCATCACCGAGCACTCGAGATCTGCCTCAACGAAATCTCTCGCTGCAACTATTTCCTCGGCCTCCTGGGGGAGAGGTACGGGTGGATCCTTAACGACGAAGTCATCGGAAAAGTATCGGATTTCGAGTGGTTGAAAGACGACTGCGTGGGGCACTCAATTACGGAAGTCGAGATGAAACACGCATGTCTGCGTGACCCTGACACTGCAAACGGGAAAGCATTCTTCTACTTCCGTGATCCGTCCGTGAGTCTCGCCATCCCCGAGAAACATCGGACTCATTTCGAAAGTGAATCTCAAGAAGCGAGGGAGAAAATCCAGCGGCTGAAGAGCGAGATACGAACCAGTGGCCTCGAGGTGTACGACGGGTACCACAGCAAGTGGCTGGGGGTCCTGGAGGACAAGCCTATGGTAGGGGGACTGGAGGATTTTGGACAAAGGGTCCTTCACAACATATGGAATGCCATCAAACGGGATTTTCCAGACGACGAAACCGGTTTGGACCCAGTTGCAGAGGCCACAGCTGCCCACAATGCCTTTGCCGAGAATCATGCCGGCAGTTTCGTTGGTCGGAGGAGTCTGCTATCAAAAGCAGAGGAAATGGTGGAGCAAGAAGAGGGAGGGGTTTTGGTAATGGAGGGGAAACCAGGATCTGGTAAATCAGCATTCATGGCGGCCCTGGCACAGCAGTGCAGCATCCGCCCATCGTTCGAGGTTCTCACTCACTTCCTCGGAGCAGCTCCGTCTTCAACCAACATTACTTCCATCCTCACTCGACTGTGCCACGAGATGAAGCGAAGATTCAACCTCGACAGAGACGTTCCTGAAGAATACCCAGAGCTCGTGAACACTTGGACGGATTTCTTGGAAGACGGCAGATCTGCCGCTGGCGGTTCGAAACTGTTGCTGTTCATCGACGGACTGGATTTGCTGGAGGAGAAGCACAACGCGAGAGGGATGGACTGGCTACCGGGGAGACTTCCCACTGGTGTGGTGGTGGTTGTGAGCACAGTGGAGAAAGGAGAGATCTCGACCAACTTGAAGAAGAGAAATCCACCTCCCACGTCGCTCACGGTTGGCAGAATGAACGAATGGGACAAGGCCGACATGGTGAGAGAGAAGCTGGCAAGACATCGCAAGTCACTGGACGAATCTCCGTTCAACAACCAGATGAAACTCCTCCTCAGCAAGAAGGATGCAGCCAACCCTCTCTTTCTGCACCTGGCCTGCGAGGAACTCAGAGTGTTTGGCATCTTTGAGGAGGTTTCTTCGTTCCTAAAGTCTCTTCCTCCGACCCTCCCACACCTGCTGCAGGAGGTTCTCGGCAGAATCGAGGGAGAACTCGGACAAGATTTGGTGAGTCTCCCTCTCTCTCCTCTGTCTCGTCCGCAATGGCCTGAGGGAGTGTGAACTGTCGGGGTTGGCGTCGCTCTACTTCATGTCCAAGACAACACAGTCCGAGGCGGATGCTTCCGTGCCAGCCATGACACTATCTCGTCTTCTTCGCTGCCTGCAGGGATTCCTGCAGCCTACCAGTGAGAAACCTCTGATCTTCTCTCCCTGGCCCATAAAGACATAGAAACGGCAGTGAAGCTTCGCTACATGAAGGGAAGAGGAGAGAAGGAGAGGGAGTTTCATCGTCTTCTTGCGACGTATTTCAAGACAGAGTGCGACCCAACTGGTGAACAGACGTATGCCGGGAGCAACGTTCGGGCATTCAATGAACTTCCCCATCACCTCATGTGCTCGGGACAATGGAAAGAATTGGAGGAAATCGTGTGTGACGTCAACTTTGTCGTCGCCAAATGTCAGTTGGGTTCAGCCCAGAATCTTCTGGAGGACTACACACCAAGTTTGGAAGGGGTCCCAGCTGGGAAAGTGAGGGAAATTGCAACGTATGTGAGCCAGCCGCGAGTGGAAATATTCAGATCGTTTGTCTCCCGAAATTTGCATGTTTTGACAGTCGCCCCGGCACTGGCTCTACAGCAGGCAATCAACGAATCGAGCTCATCTCTGATTGCCACGGAGGCAGAACGAGTTCTCCTGGACAACCCCCAACCACTTGTGAGGTGGCTGAATCGCTCACCCGGTGAAAACCGATGTCATCTCACCATCCCGTCCAGCAGTGAAGTAACGTGTGTGGCAGTTTCTGGGGACAGCAAGCAGTTTGCAGCTGGGTTCAGAAACTGTAGTGTGAGAGTCTTCAGCACTGCCACCGGCGCCGAGATTCAATCTTTCGTCGGACATGCCGCGGAAATCACTTCCCTCTGCTTCGTCGGGTCACATGCTCTCTGCTCGGGGTCACATGACACGAATCTGAGCCTCTGGGACCTGAAGGGGGGATTCAGGATAGCGAGTCTGACTTCTCACTCTCGCAGTGTGAGGGGATGTGCGGCTGATGCTGCGGGGAAGGTGCTCGTCTCCGTCTCGTGGGACACAAATATCAGAGTGTGGGACGGGAGAACTGGGAAACAAACGTGTTTCCTCAACCAGAAAGGAGGAAGAAACTGCCCGCTCAACTGCGTCAGTTTCCATCCCTCATCGAACCAGCTCATTGCCGTGGGGTCCTGGGACACTACCGTCAAGATATGGGATGTGTTCAGCAGAAAGAGGGTTAAAGTTTTGAAGGGGCACCAGACGTCTGTGCAAGCCTGTGCGTACGCTCCAAGTGGTCGCCACATTGTGTCTGCTGCATTGGATGGAGAGGTGAAGGTCTGGTCTACTAAATCAGGGAGTGCTGTGGGGAGCATTGCTGGACACTTTGACCCAGTGAATGCCATCTCTTACACACCAAACGGACAGTACCTGCTCACCGCCTCAAGTGACCAACTGGTGAAGGTTTGGTCCGGGAGCCTCGGGCAGCGAGTGGCGAATGTGGGGAAATCGGAATATGGCTATGCCCACTGCGTGGTCCACAGTCGACAGAACCAGACCGTACTGGTAGGCTACCATGACGGTCACGTCAGGAAATTCAACACACAGACTGAGGTTGAAGAATTTGCAGTCAGACTCCACGATAAGGCAGTCGTTGCAGTTGGAGCTCAGGGAAGATTCAGCATGTCGGCCAGTGCTGACGGAACCATCAAGATATGGGAAGGCCCTTCTTCCCTCCCAAGACACCTACTCCTGGAGGGACACAAGGCAGGGATAACATGTGCAGCGTGGACCAAATACGGACTCGCATCAGCTGCTGAAGATTTCTCTCTTTTCTTCTGGCCCCATGAACTGACCCACTACACCCGAATGTGGAACCAGAACAAATCGTCCACAAAGCTGAGCGTCTACCCCCTAATATCATTGAAAGGGCATACATCCACTATATCTGCTCTCTCGTTCTCTGGTGATGGACTGAAGATGGCGTCGGCTAGTCGAGACCAGACTGTCATCATGTGGGACCTGATCACAATGAAGGAAGCTCGTACCATGCACGACTGCCACAAGGATTGGATAACCGCCATCTCATTCCCAGACGCTGGTTCCGATACTCTCATCACCGGTTCCAATGACTTTAACCTGAAGCTCTGGAACGTGAGCACAGGTGAAGAGAGGATAACTTTCCGCGGACACACGTCGGCCATCAACTCCGTCTCATTCTCACACGGCTACGTTGTGTCAGCTGCATTCGATGGTTCTGTGAAAGTCTGGACTAGAAAAGGAGTTGAAATAACGACGCTACACTGCCACCAACAGAGGGTGAATGCCTGTGTTTTGGACGTACCTCACACCACAGACAACTCATCGTGGGCCGACATTGTGGAACAAGAGGAAGAAGCAAAGGATCAGAAGAGTAAGCTGGAGGATGTGCTCGTCGTAACCGCTAGCGACGATGGAACAGTCGGAGTGTGGAAGCCGTTTGTACCGAATGAAGTCACTGCACTTGTTGGCCACTCTGATCGCGTCCTTGCAGTTTCGTCAACCTTCAACAACGAGATAATTTCATCCTCTCGCGACAAGACCATCCGAATATGGTCTCCGAAACTCCCCGAGAAAATGGGCGGGGTCTCAGTAACAAGCTCCACCCACGCACACGTGGGCGAAGTTACATCTGTCACTGCATCTATGCCTTACATAGCCACTGGAGGTAGAGATGGACAAGTCCTTATATGGACTACCACGAGAATTGACGAAAACAACAAAAGATGTCTGAATCTGAAGAAGTTGTACTGCATTAAATCGTCAGATGCAGCTGTCACTTCGCTGGCCTGCATCGGCGCAAACAACCGAGTTGTGAAACTTGCAGTCGGAAGAGACGATGGGTCGATTGGCAAGTACGAATTCTCCGACACCACGTTTCCCGTGGAGACAGGGGTAATGGGTCCAGCTACTCTAATGGGTGCCCACCCTGTATCGGACCTGGCTGTAGCTCACGGAGGGAAATGCCTGGTGGCAGGCTCGTGGTCTAAAGTGGTGTCAGCTGTTAGAACGGAGGGAGGGACGGTGGCTGGTAAAATGGAGGAGCACAGTGGATGGGTGATGGGGGTGACAGTGGTGGAGGAAGGTGGGGAGTATTTTTCTCTCAGTATCGGTCTGAACAGGCTCCTGTGCAAGTGGCCTTTGGGTCAAAGTCGCAGGAAGACGCCGTCATCCTCAGCTGTGCGGTATGGAATCCCCAGCGAGGGGAAGAATGATGCATGGCTTCTGTGCATATGCCCGGTGAATTCCACGCACGTTGCTATTGGAGACAGCGGGGGGAGGGTGTGGTTTTGGAACCAAGTCACCAGAAAGGTGGACTTTTCTAAGAAGATCCACAGGTGTGCAATAAATGGAGTGGCAGCAGTTGGGGTTACGCTGGCAACGGGATCTGCTGATGGTTCTATCAAGATTTGGCGGGTCAGCAGCGGCCGCACTAAAGACATTGTTCAAGTCGGCCATTTCCATGCTCGGTCATCGGTGACGTCATTGAAAGCTTATGCCATGGGCAGAAAGGGGGAGGGGCAACCGATCATTCTGACTGCTGGCGATCAACTGGGAAACGTGATGCTACTGGAGTACAGTGCCACTGATTAACACTGAACTTGAAACTGAAACGTTAGCTACTACATAGATAATAGGACACGAGTAGTGAATTGTAGTATAGTATTATACCTGATAGACATGATTAGATCTTGCAGAATGTGAGTAGAAAATCCTTCGAAATCTTCCACAATTATTACGACTGGCGGACCTGGTGGTGCATCCTGTGAGCAGTGATGACGAGAGATGGAGTAGTAGTAGAAGAATAGGGTGTTTAGAGAGACCGTACCTGGTGGGTGCTCTGGTACCAGCTCAGGAGGAGGGAGAGAGAAGGGAGGGAGAGCTTTGGTCTGGATGCCCCGCCTCCCCCTTCATCAGTCTCCTTATCGGACAACTGTAATTGTGATAATGAACAGCATGCACAAAATAATGTACCGTATATATAGCACGTATTTGAGTCACTTTATCAAAATTCATCATACTAATACACAAAAATAAATTAAGGCTACTAATCATTTTCCTACTATAGGTCGGTCCATTTCCTTCAGCTCCACACGATCCACCATGAAATCGAGAGCATCTCCCACCAGATACTGCCCGCCTTGTATCTCCTTCAGAGTGATGAACTCCCGTAGACCCCACAGGTAGTTCTTGTCGCCCGTGACAACCCTCCCCGCATGCTTGTCGCGAGCGATGTGGTCGTAGCTAATCTGCCGCTCGTAGTACTTGTCCTTGTCTCGCTGGTTGATGAGACGGATGAAAATGTCGGCCCGGAGCGGCCAGGGGATGATGTCATCGTGCTGACCGCGAGTGATGCAACACCAGACGGAGACGTGGGTATCGGTGCCGGCCGCGTCAACCCTCACCACCATCCTGTAGCCGCGACGACTGGTGTAGAACGGCTCGCTCACAAACGAGTCTTTCTTCTCCCTCCTCTTGGTGAACCGAGAGACAGTGAATGAAAAGGGCGGGGTGGGTGTGGCTGCCTTCTCCACATATTCAACCTCAGCCATTACTTCCTCCACTCTTTCATTGAGTTCTTGTCTGATTTTCTCCATCTCGTCTTCCACTACCACGGCTTGCTCACCCACAATCGCATCGACTTTGGTTTTCAACTTTTCCGTGCCCTCAGCTAAACTAACCAACTTTTTCTCTACTTCTGCCTTACTCTCTCTAATCTCCTTTTCCTGTCTCTCGTGTGCAGTTCTGTGGGCATCATTTGAAACTTCCAGCTTCTCATCCAATTTCTGTTCAATAATAGCTATAAGCTTCTTCTCTTCCAAAGGATTTCGTTTCGGAATTGCTGCCTCTATCTTGGCTGTCAACTCGTCTTCTGTTTTCTGAACAACAACTGCTACACTGTTTTCCAGTTTTTCAAAGTCGTCTTTCGGTTGTTTCCGTTCAATCTGCTCCGTCAATGATTTCTCTAGCTCACCGATCGATTTCTCAAATCTTTCCCTCTCCTGCTTCTCCTTTTCCTCCATTGCCTCCCCCAATCTCTCCATTTCTCCCTTCATTTCCTCCAGACGAGCCACATGCTTTTCCTCAACCCCCGCCAACCTTTCTCCTAGTTCAGTTTTGATATCTTCAACTCTGCGGCAGCTCTCTGCCAACTCCTTCTCGAGTGATTCGATTCTCTCATCTTTCGCCTTTAGCTCCTCATCCTTTTCCTTTAGCTCCTCATCCTTTTCCTTTAGATCCTCATTCTTTGCCTTCAATTTCTCATTCTTTGCTGCTAGTTTTTCCTCCAGTTGTTCCTTGAATGCTGCAAATTCGCAGTGCATTGCCACAAACCGATCATTAGTGTCTTCGACAAAGTTTGTAAACTGAGCCATTCTTTCGCCAGCTTCTTCGCGGAGTCTCTGAATAATTTCATCTCTCTGCTGGAGTTGTTCCTGCATAGCAACGGTCGTTTTCTCCATCTCTTCCTTGGTGATCAGGGCTTCTTGTTTCGATCGAATTTCGACAATATTTCTTGCCAGGAGATGGGCGTGGTACAACTGAGTGGTGTTGACATGGTTTTGAAGCTCCTTTCGTGGTCGCTGTTTCGCCGCGCAGCCCAAGTCGAAGAACGGACACATCACCGGCTGCAGTTTGCAGTCTCTGTCGCAATGAGACTTCACTTGGGACCGCCGCATCTCCCCCGCGTCGCAGTTATTCGGACAAGAGACGGGGAAATCCGGACATTCGCCCCAGTGTACGGTTGACAGCTCCCGGTAAGTCGTCTCAACGTCGTTACAGTACTGGCATACGACTATGCGGTGCGGACACTCGTTTTGTTGATGCCGATCGAGGTCCTGGCGAGGCAGACGGAGGTCGCAGCCCGCGTTCGGGCAGGGAACGAGCTCGAACTGGCAAAGAGGGGTAGGGCCGCGGGGGCCGGGGGACTCCCCGGCTGCGCCGTTCGGCGGGTGTAAGTGTCGGAGCAAATCACGCAGTTCTCCCTGCCATTCGCAGCCTCTGGCGTTGTTTGGGCAGCGAACCTTGGCCTGCGAGACAGCTCGCTGACGGCCCTTGTCCAGGAGACCCGTGAACTCCGTTGAGCAGAGGGGGCACAGTTTGTTGGCGAGTCTTTGAACACACGACTCGCACAAGTGGTTCCCGCAGCAGCTGAGGAGGAAGGGATCGAGGAGGGTCAGCTTGCACACGGGACACTCCCAATCCTCGGGCGGCCCCACGAGAAACTCGGCGTCCAAAAGTCGCTCTCGCGAAGCCATTTTCACACACAATAGAGTGGTGTGTTGGGGGCGGAGCTAGTGCAATTTGCGCATGCGCAAACAAACACGTCTTGACTTGTATATGTACGCATGCGTAGGAAGTTGCATTCTCTCACCTCCGTTTCCGCTGTTCGAGTTAGTTGCAAGAGTATTTCCTTCCATACAGCCTTCATTCCTGCAAAAATTCAGTATTTGCTGCAGTTTCCACGAGTTGATAGCCTCACCTGTGCTGCAAGTCTCCGACTGCAGCTTAGCAACATGTGGAGTTACCGAGGCAACAATCTTAGATCTCAGTTGTCTAAAAAGCACGTCATGATCCGGCATATTGACACCTGAAACACAAAACAAAACAATAAAGTGACTTCAATATGGTGTGACCCCAATGAATGAAGCTCAGTGAAGTTCCTTCAAAGCTACATCTGCTCACTAGTTAGTCTACTCCGTATACCTGCTACCATTACTGCAGTAGGGATCTCAAGTCTTGGAGGAAGAGGAACCCTCTTCCCCTCCCCCTCGCCTCTCTCGTCATCATCTCCTGCAGGGGAGCTGCTCTTTGAGTGGAGCTGAAAGTCGACTCAACCGCTCAGAAGCTTCGCCCACAAACCTCACCAGAGACCTGAACAGCTCCTCGTGTTGGTTTTCAGTGATCTCCTGACAATAGAGTCAAATAATATCTAACTCGCAAAACTTTTTTCATACCTCAATGATGCGCCTAGTGGATGTCCAATTTTTGCGATAGATGTCTGCTCTTCTTGGAGCATCACTATCTTTCTCTCCTGGCAGACTCTGAAATTTTCCTGCAGATGAAATTTATAGGTCAAGGTTCACTATAGCTAGCTAATGTTATTTCAACAAACTGCATCTCTGTAAGTAGTTGCAGCTGCTATGCCACCTGATAGGATTGAGGTCCGCTTGAATGAGTTAGCATTGAAAAGGAAGCATCCCTGCAGTTACATAGTTCGGAAGCCAACTATCAATTCAATTATACCGCCCAGCTGAGCTGCAGCTGCTACTACACGCCTACATAGCTACGCGGACTGCAGCCCTAGCTAGCTAGCTACGCGCGCTGTTCATACTTCTTTGCTACCTACCTGAGTAAGGGAGCTGGTTCCTTCCATGGCTCTAAAAGCGCGCGTCTTTTACACAGCCTCGTGGTGTAGATAGGAATGCTTGATTATTGCAAGACAGCTTATACATGAGATCAGCAGAGGATGTAAATTCAGTGTAGTTTGTGTGGAGCTGTGGAGATGTCAGAGTGATCAAATATTGAACCCTGAAGGTGTTGATAAGGAGTACATCATTGTCTGTATACAGCTCTGAGTGAAATGATTAGTTTGATGACAGGGGTGCAGACCACAGTGATGATTGGAAGACTATAGTAGTGAAGGTAGAAGGCCACATCTCTCACAGGTAGAAGGCCCAGGACAGACAGCAGGCCACAGGAGTGAGGATGGAGGTAGCTGGTCTCCCAGTAGAGGAGAACATCGCGGTATCGAGTGAGATCCAGATCCAAGGACACAAGACCAGCCTACGTACAAAGAGAGAAGAATTCTAGTTTGAGAATCGGCAGCGTTTGCGGATTCAGACCAGATGGTCAATCAGAGAAAGAACCGTGGACTCCATTTCAGTCTCCAACTTCTGGGCCGAGAGCAGGAGACCAGCGGACATGACACTCCACACAGCCACTATACACATCAGACACACCCTGCGGAACAGAAGATTCGGGCAGTCGTTTTCTAACTGGCTATTCACACCAACCAGATTTTTATTCTTCTTGGTGTGAGTCTGTTCTTTGAAAATACGTTCTCAGCCAGGAAATAGAGCAAAACGGCCACTCCACTCTATCATGAAGTAAAAGCCAGAGAGAGGATATCCATAAGACACTTGTTCACGCGAAAAAGTATAACTCACACAATGTATAGGACTGTGGAGAGGGTATAGAAAGAAGATGCATCTGACCAGACAACATTGAAATCACTCTGGACTCTGCTCTGGAGCAAAATACGATACTAATATCTACAACCTCTTTCTACTACTGTCCAACAGGACTGCAGAGGGGCAGATTTCGAAACAATGAGCTCAGTTTCAAACGTAAGGTTTTTCAGGAGCTCATAGACTGTGAACCTTTCTGGTGAAAATGAACCACATGTTATATGTATTACCTGAAACGAGAGAAGGCCGTGTGCCACTGTTGAAGGTCCTGATCGAAAACCTCCTGCCCTCTGTCCATGTGGAGAGGATGAGAGGTTGGGAACTCACTCAGCACTGAATGATATCTTTTAAACTGGTCTATGTGAGTTCCTGCAGCCAACCAGACAAACCTCAATCTTATTTAATACTATATACCAGATTGATTAACCGTGGAGCAGGAGAAACATTACTGCAGTGGAGAGTGTGAGAAAGAGACAGAGGAACGCCAGGGTAACGGCGTCCCCCATCGAGAGTCGCATGTCGTCCATTGCAGGCCACAGACTCACTCCGCCGCCCACTCCCCCGACACCCTCCAGTCGTGATTTCGCCTCGTGGTGGAGTCTCTCCAGCTCCCGCTGCCGGGCCAGCACAGAGCTCTTTCCCGGCCTCTCTTTCTTGGCCGAGGCCTCGCTCTCCCTCTGCAGCTGGACGAGGGTCGGACTCTTTGCGAGCTCCGTCCCCGTCCGCGCTTTCTTCCCGACCCAGCGGTCCCTCATGGCCGCAATCTTTTCGCTCACAGCGGTCTTCTGCAAGCTTCTCTGAGCGTCTACAGCCTCTTGAGAGAAGGGAGACGAAGGAGGAACGTTCTCCTTGGACGGGATCAGCATACTAAGACGTCTTCTCTCTACCATCGCTGCAAAACCGACCTCTGCGTTTTCGAAATAGAGCGCTCTGCAGGGCGGGCGCCGCCGATTGGTGCGGCCCAACTTTTGCGCATGCGCTCGGGAACCACTCAAAGATAATGCATTAATGGGCGTTATATAGTATAGTGCGCGCGATGAGTGAACGAATTTGTCGATCGCAGCACTTTCCTGTAGGAGGATAATGGCTGCAAACTCTATTGCGAAGCTGCCAGGTGAGCTGCTCTTGCAGTAGTCTGTCTCCACCGCCAACCCTCTCTCTACGGCAGGGGAGTTGGTGGTAGCCGAGGCTCACAGGACCCAGTGTCTCATCCAGTACACGGAGAACCAGGAGTCCGGGGGAAAGGGAGGAGGAGGGACGGCCGTGTCCGGCACCCTCTCCTGCACCAACTACTGCTTCCACTTCGAGCCTGACGCAGCCCAGGGACTCGCGGTATGCGTTAGAACAATCCCTTATCCGAGAAACAGTTATGTATCTATTCCTATTTGCTAATCCTGGGAACTGACACACCCACTCTATCTCTTATACACAGAGACTGGGGCAGTATATCTCCTCGCAACTAGCTGGCAGCAGACGTGTCCCACTCGGCTGTGTCAGGGAAATCTACATGAGTAAGCTCCTGCAATTAGCCTATCTGGTGGTGTGTGAGTGGTTTGTATGTTCACTGCAGTTGTTGGTGGACGGAAGAAGATTCTAGAAGGACACGCCACTCTACCAAGGAAAATCTCAGAAATTGAAATCATATGTGTGGTATGTAAAATTCAGCAATTATTTCGAGCATGATTTTTTTGTGAATTAACAGATGGTCGCTTCTTCTACAATACTAAAGTGTTGTTTTTTTGTGAAAATTGAACTGCAAAAACGGTGCAAATTGTGCACCTCGGAAACTTGGCATAGTACAGTATATACCCCAGTGCATTAGCCACACCCTTTCTCAATTAAGTGGGTGTGGTTTACCTGACCCCAGGACCTGAGGCGACTGGTGTTCTCAGTGAAGCAGTGTCCAAAGAACGAGGCATCCTCAGTGAGTCTGCCCACCTGTCTGTCTGTTTCTCACAAGAGGGGATCTGTTGTTTGTTGCTCCCACAGATCCTGAATGCTCTGGTCAGACACACAAACCCCTCGTCCCTCTCTCTGCTGTTTGCCTTCGACTTTGCCAGAGCCACGAGGCAGCGAAGACCATCTCAGACTAACGGTATATATATACCCAATGGAAGCTATTGAGACATTGGCTCATTTGTACATTATTCAGGTGTCCTTTATTAGGGTGGTCTGTAATGCACTCACGTGTCCTAATATAATGTATTGTAGAATGAGAATGTCTGGAGTTGTCACAGTATATACTCCTTCCCTCCCACTCACTCTATCTCCGTCCCCACGACCTCCCAGATTCGGCCCCCCTGTTCCTGGGTGTGCGGGACTGGCAGCGGGAGCTAACGAGACTGGGTGTGGCCGGAGACCAGTGGAGAATCTCGGACTCTAACAAGGAGTTTCTCATCTGTGACAGGTGGGGGGTCAGAGGTCATCTTTGCCACAAATCCATGATATTGTAATCCGAGGGTTTTGCACTGCACTCTCCTGCTATAGTCAAAGTATTCAGAAAGATTAGTTGGCCTGTCCTTCACCTCACTTTAGTGCTGAAATACGAGAAAGCTACATAGGCCCCTGTTTCACAGCATTCCTGATCTACAACGGCATGATAGAGAGAAGGGGATTATGGATTCTTATGAGTAAAGTCCATCTCCTACTCTCCCCCAGTCTCTGTCCGTTCCTGGTGGTTCCTGCCAACTCTAGAGACAACACCCTCGACTACGTGGCTTCCCTTCACCATGGCAACCGTCTCCCGGTGTGGTGTTGGTCCCATCCGAACACGGGAGTGTCGCTAACGAGAGGGGGAGCCCCTTCAATTGACGACCCTTCAGAGGCACCTGATCCAAGGTACAGTAACTGTTTGCTATGTATCACTGGTGCCCTGGGCCAGTTACTGGGAAAAAACGCAGCGGATTATAGAACAAAACCTTTTTGCGTGCACACACAGGCAGGTCTGGAAGCATTATGCCAATTCAAAGGCACGAAATTGCAATTTGTAGCTCTCAAAAGGCATAATTCTCTCTGTGTCTGTGTCTGTGTGTCTAGCTATATGTATGCAGTCTCCATGGCAAGGAACATTGGTCACCAGATCGAGAACAAGGGAACAGCAACCCTCGACATCACTAGAACCTGTGGCACAGTCTGGGACCTCCGATCTGCCTTCAGCAACATGAGGGATCTCTCCATGCCCGGTAGACCACACCCACCACACTCATCGGAAGTACAATATTGTCACCGTTTCACAAAAAAATTTTCATGGAAACTTAAAAATTATGGTTGTCCACACTTACATATTGTAGAGCAGAATACTTACTATTTCGTTGAACATATCTGGTTCAGGTTCACCCCAGGAGCTAGCTGGGCTGGACAGGAAGTGGCTGACGGGAATGGAGTCGGCTGGCTGGCTCCCGATGGTTCGGAACTGCCTGCGCCTGGCAAAGACAGTGTCTCAAAACCTCTGCATCGACCACAGACCAGTGTTCCTTCAAGGTAGCTAATACGCTCCTTCAACTTCTCAATCTCCTCCAGTCTCTCTCGTTTGATCTGATCTGCAAACCTTGCACGATACCCGAAACTCAGCCATTATTGTGACATATACAGTAGACACCCCTGTGGCTTGTACTGTACGTTCAGTATCCAGAGAATTTGTGAGCATATCTAGCTAGACGTGGAGCAAAAAAACAAAGGTGGCGATGATCCAAACATGGATTGAACCCTCTCTCTCTCTCACACACTCGCAGAGGAGGGAGGTAGAGACCTGTCTTGTGTGGTATCGTCTCTGGCCCAGCTGATGATGGACCCTCACTACCGCTCAATCTCGGGGTTCCAGGCTCTGGTCCAGAAAGACTGGGTTGCCATGGGACACCCCTTCTCCACTCGCCATCATCTCATCACCAAACCCCCAAGTCTCTCTCCGGACTCTGTAACCGACGAACCCTCAGTCGAGGTTAATTCACAACATGAAACATAACATAAAACTATCCGTGCTCTGCCTCTCTCTTACACACTCGTGAAACTGATACATTACTTAATGACCTAATAGACTTGTTCAAAGGTGCACCAGAGCGATATGTGTAATCCAGTTTGTCCAAGGTCTTGTACTATACATCTGTTCACAAAGACGTTACAACTAAATAAAGTCTAACTTTACACAGATAATAAAGTAGTTCTCTCTCTTTTGCTAGGCTCCGACATTCCTGCTCTTCCTGGACTGCGTGTGGCAACTGTCTCTTCAGTTTCCGTCCGCGTTCGAGTTCTCAGAGTTCTATCTTCTCCAGCTGCACAGCCTCACCTACGCCAGTCTCTACGGCACGTTTGTCTTCAACTCTCCCAAAATCTGTCTCCAGGTGGCCATGTTATCCCGACACAGTCAGTTCTTTGGGTCCGATGAGGGTGTGCCCGATTCGAATGAGACGTGTTACGAAGGCCTCCTCCGCCCGGCGTGGGGACACTGGCGTGACAACCTCACTCGAGAGGACCGCGAATACTGCCACAACCCACTCTACTATATCTTTGGAAACAGCGAAGCTCGCTACGACTTCAACACCAGTGACCCGCTGCCGATGTACGACCAATTTAGTTCAATTTTCGACGATACTGCCCCGAATCTCGTTGTGGGGGGTAGTTATGGACTCTATAACAGGGACAGCCCCATGAAAGACCTCCATGTGGCGGGGAGGGGAAAGACGAGTCACCATTACCAGCAGGGGCTCCTTCTGCCAGAGACATCTGGGTGTTCTGTCAAACCATGGCTTGGGTTCTTTGCCCGGCACATCCCAGATTTTCAGGAGCACTTTGCCGAGCAGAGGAGAGTGAGGGAGAGAGAGGTACGCCTCGTAAAGGATGTTCGGAGGTTAAAGGACACTCTGAACGAACTGGAATTGAGTGTGGGTGCTATTACCAGCGACCTCACTAGTTTTGTTGGTGCTATTCTCGCCGCACGAGAGAGGGAGAGACGAAACCGCATGTCGAGTCTCTCTCCGGACCACGCCCACCGGCCACGCCTATCTGCCATGTTAGTTCCCTCGGACGACGTGGAGGTCAGGGGTTCAGAGGTCAACTCGTCGTCCAAGACCCTCCCAACCAAGGTCCAATCACTGGCCGAGTTCACTGAGACCTTATACATGTTCTCTGACGACAGGGGTACACCCTCTGGTCTTAGAAAATCGGCCGATGGGGCAGTGGGTGGAGCTTCGCCGGGTCCCGGGAACGCCCTCTCTCCCGGCAGTGGGCGGAGTCCAATTACCAAGACGAGGTTACGAGTGACGCGGACTGAGTCCATAGAAAGTTCCAGTCTTCATTCCAGGACCCCTGGACCCGCGTCGGGACATATACCACTCCTGGCCAACAAGATACTGATCAGAGAGCAGAACGTTGGGCCTGAAGAGGAGGAAAGAGGAGGAGAAACAGCCGGCAAAAGAATCTAGTCCAGTAGATGTAGAATGTACAGATCTATGAAAAATGATTATTATGTTTCCCACTTCACTGCATTATGAACCGACATTATATCTCTTGATGTGCAAAAAAATTCTTGTTGTTGCTCGTGTAGCGCTGTGTGTATACGCGAAGCACATTCCACCAACGCGCCCCTAGTGCGCGCCCTAGTGCGCGCATGGTTGAAAGGTGTAGCTGCACTCCCCGTGGCAATGTCGTCTCTCAGGTTCGTCATCTTCCTCGGCACCGTCCGTGACGGCAACTTCGGCCAGAGAGCCGCCAAGTTATGGTGAAGAAGCTGGAGGCGCGCGGCCACCAGACTACGTTGCTTGGTAAGGCTCAGTGGGCAGCCCCTCCTGCTATATACATAATACCTCTCTTCATACTTTCCCCTCTCTCCTCAGATCCTGATGTTCTGGATCTGCCTCTGCTCAAGAAGCCACTCCACTTCTACAAGGACCGGAGCCAGGCACCCAAGGTCCTCCAGGAGACCAACCAAGCAATCGTGGATGCCGATGCCTTTGTCATAATCTCAGCAGAGTACAATCACTGCATGCCACCGGCTCTCACAAACATGATGGATCATTTCCCAATAGCCTCCTACAAGTACCGGCCCTCGGGGATTGTCTGCTATTCCATGGGGTCATTCGGAGGTGTTCGTGCCGCCATGCAGTGTCGCATGTTGCTCGGAGAGCTAGCAACGCCGAGTGTGGGCCCACTTTTGCAATTCCCCAGATCAACAAGGCTCTCTCGGAGACTGGGGAGCCTCTGAATGACCACATGGACTCGGGGGCTGATAGGCTGATCAACGAGCTGGAGTGGTACGGGCTGGCTCTCAAGAACCATAGGGATACGGCTGGTCTGCCCAAGTAACTGGGTATATACCCTTTGGGGCCACCAGGATGCTGCTATCAGACTTACAAGTAGTGTAGGCAACTTTTTAGACAGTCTGGTAATTTTTAATTACTAGCTGTCTTACCAAATTCTGAAGCAAAACTGCTAAAATTTCAAACCTCCTTGTTTCTGTATAATTATACCTACAATTTTGATGACCAGTGACTGTAGTTATAAAATATAAAACGATGTTCATTGTGGTGGTGGTTTTTGACGAGAGACAGAGGTGTTGTATTGTTGTCAGGTGTTCCCCTATTGCTCTCCCTGTCTGGAGACCACACCCTCTTGCAAGCTGACTCCACCCCCTTCGCTGTTGACAGTAGTACTTCTCCCTGCATAATGAATGGCAGATGCTTGTCTTGGTGGCTCTTAATATTTCACACTGACTGTTACCTCTGATGGGGAGTGAGGTAGTCCCTGGTCGTTAGGTGAGTCAGCGGCCTGCTGATGATGTAATCAGTGAGTGTCTGTCGGTCTCCCTCCAGCACTCCATCTCTGATGGCCCTGCAGGTCCCCAGTCTCTTCACCTCAGTGGCGATGAAACTAGACATCGGGTCCTCTCTTTCCGCACTCCCTCCCAGCCTCCTCAGAGCACCCACCAGCTCCTCTGTCACCATGGCACTCTCCTCTACCACCAGTCTGTCTCTCAGGGTGGAGACAACTCGAGACTCTGTCCCATCTTCTTTGCCTCCCCTCTCCCTCTCTTCCCTGTTCCCTCCTTTCCCCTCTGCCAGAGGTGGGAGAGGGTGTGGCAGGCCTCGGCTCTCACTGCCGGCACCTGCACACAATGTCACAATCCTCACATCTCTCACTCTCCACACGGAGCACACCACAATACACCTTGTCACAGCGAACACTCCACAGCAGTTGCTCCATTACATCTCCATCGCTACAACCAATGCTTCTGAGGGCTGCAGAGATTGTAACAGTCTTCATCAAGCCACTAAGCATTCAAGGTAGAAGCCACAGCAAGTAAAAGATATATGCCTGTCCATGGCTTATAGGTAATGCAATATGCACATGTTTCATAGTATGGGACATGTGATGGTTATGGCATGCACAACAAAGACTTACCTCTGAGAGTGTGTGCCCTGATGCTCCATATCGGATCTCCCAGCAAATGAATGAGACACTGTAGCACTGCCTCGTCCCTTATAGCCAGCTGCCCACATATCTACAGAGATTGAAAATGCAGAGGGAGGAACTACAGTAAATTAGCAATAGGGTCAGTGTATGGAGGGTAAGACCCTGTAATCTTACAGCGATGGCCTCAAGTCTGATGGAGGCATGTTGGTCAGAGAGACAGGGGAGGAAGACTGAGAGGAGCTGGGGAGTCATCAGCCTCAGGGAACTCATCTTCTTGAGAGCATCCAACTTCTCCACTTCAGCTCCTTCACTCAGTCTCCTTGCCAGCTCGTCGTGCAGCAGCTGAGAGGAGATGAGGTTAATATGTATACTAGCTATAGATGACTATGTTGAGAAGATAAGATGGTGCATAATGGCTGCGTCAAGGTGGATAAGGTTCCATTTGTACAAGGTGCGCTATAAAGTGCTCAGGGCTCTAGGGGCCTAAGGTAGCTACCATTACAGCTGTCTTTGAGTTTACTTTTCCATGTCCAGTTTTTCCGAGAGCTTGAGAGGCGGCATCTCTGACTGCAGGGCTCCAGTCTTCCCAGCTCATGACCACCAGATGATGACACACGTCCTGTGGCAGAGAACGAGACAGATTTAGTCCCTCTTTCTCCCTGACGTTGTGTGTGTGAGACTCACGGTGGAGAGAGGGCAGAGGAGAGAGGGGAGAACTCGACAGGCCAGCAGCCTCTCCTGCCATCCTCTGCTTGTCAACTGCTCAGCCAACAAGGCGTGCACCAGAGGCTGCAAACAAGAGACGAAAGTTGATTTTCATCAAAGTATGCATCGTTAAAAATCCAGTGTAGAAAGCTATACATGAAAAGGATAGATATCTATTACCAGAGTGAACTGACCATTCTGTCGCTAAGTCTTGCCAACATGTTCCCGGCACTCTGTCTGATGGAGGAGTCAGAGCTGTTGAGTAGGAACCACTGACACCTCTCCACCACACACTCCTCACACACCCCACCCTCCACCAGGCACCGGAGCCCCGCCCACTCGTCAACATTGTCGATCCCTCTCCTCCCCAGGGCCTCCAGCAGGGAATCCACTGCTGCTAGGCTCCATCTCCCCAGACAGTGGAGGGCTATGGCGGCGGGTACATGGACCCCAGTCGATGCCTTGTCCTCCACGATCCTCTCCAGCACCCTCACCACCTCCCCACTCTCACAGAGTTCACGTCCTGATTTCTCCCGAGCAAGACCGCCACAGGCCACCATTCCCTTTGCTCTGGTACTGTCGTTGAGACTGAGAATATTGCTGAGAACTGCAGCTTCAGTCGAGTCTTCTGGCTGTATGTGGATGCACTTTCTCTTGCTCCAGTCCTTCACTGGGGAACAAATTGTCGTCTTATTTCTCTCCTCTTACAACACAAATAGCTCCCGGGCCTTCTAGAATCATTACAAGGCTACACACACTACTTACAGATGAGGCAGTACTGATGTTGAGACGAGAGCCTGTTCCCACTGAGTACAGGTGAAGACTTCCCATCTCCAGTGAGCTCTCTGCCATCTCCTGCCTCGGTCTGGGATCTGTCTCCACATACCCACTGGAGGTGTTCCGCTATCTGTGTTTTGCTACCAGAGCATTATGTGAACCACGCCATGTCCATTTCCTATCTTGTCTCCCTTACCGTCCCTATAATTTCAAAATACGTGGATTTTTACTAGAACTCACAGGTGCCGGGTGAGGCAGAGCAGTCCATCTCCTAGTTCCCTTCACCACTGACTTGTCCTCCTCTTCTTCCTCCTCTGTCTCACACCACTCACTGTGTGGCTGAGGATACCTTCTCTCTAGAACCTAGTGCAGAAAACAATGCATTGATACAAACACTGACGTACTGCAAAACCTTGATGATGTGCATATATACCTTGGTGAAAGTGTTGTTGTTGTCGAGCAGTATGAAATCTCCCTTTCCTCTCCTCCAAATAGGCTTGGCACCTTTCCCAAGACAAACTGTGTAGTTATCTTCTCTCCTCTCCTCATCTTCCTCTTCCACCTCAGCCCCATTCGCCTCTTCTTCTTCCTCCTTTTCCTCCTCTTTCTCTCTCCTACCCCCACCTAATCGGACAGCTGTGGAGCTGGTAACACCCCCCAACAATCTCTCCTCCCACTGAACAGACTTGGCCACTGGCACAGTTCTCAACTTGCGATACAGCATGCCACTGGGGTGAGAAGCAACATGGTGTGCTGAGCTAGACACAGATTTCAGCAGGGCCAGTTCTGAGGAACGGCAGCGTTCATTATTGGTGGGTCTATCGTGAGATTGGACGCTCGGAGGGCCGTGTAGGTAGCACAAGTGCCGCTTGGTATCCACCACTACTCGCCTGTTGCGATGACGCCTCTCTCTCTCATAGTGGCGTCTGGAGGTAATGTTGGTAAGAAAACATCCCCTAGATTTCTCAGAGCCTGTCTGTAGCCGACGGAGTGGGGGCTGCGAGAACTGACCACGTCCTCCGTGAACGTCAGGGAACGGCGGAGCTGGCTCACTTGAACCCGGAGAAGGCTACCGTCTCTTCCAGCTACGACAGTGCGCCTTCTCCTCGGCGGTTCACTCCTGCTACTGGCTGCCACGTGACGAGTCGAGCGACGATTTCCATCTTCGTTGACTCTTATGCTGGGAACGTGTACTCCTGCTCCACAGGCATACAAATCCTTCACCGGTAGCCGACCCGACATCTCCCCGGCGGCCGAGAGAGCTCAATAACGTCGCCATTGACAACGCTAGACCACACCCCCTTTGCCTCCCCCGGTACAAAACTTGTCGAAAAAGAAAATTTTTTACACACAACAGTTAGACCTATATAAGTCTCTGATACAGTAAACAAGTGCAGAAAATTAATGATGACTGACACTAGACTAAAAGGTAAAACTTCCCAACCAGGGTGGGTCAGGTGACAGTCACGTGACTCAGACTATGATGTAATGAATAAATTAGTCCGAGTCCCCCTCTTCCCCATATTCCTCCCCTCCCACATCTGTCGGGGGAGAAACATGAAGGAAAACAAGAAACTGAAAACGATTTTTCTCAGCTGGTACTCACCACTGTGGTGCATTAGGAGTCGGCCCACCTCAGGGTTCTTCGCTGACAGATCGTACGGCAGCTGCTTCTCGTTGTTACGAATATCCTTCCGAGCTCCTGTGAGAGCAGATAGAGGAGGAGGAGGGGGGATCAAAAGTGTCCAAGGGATCATGTATAGTGTTGTAAAGTTCACCTTTCTCCAGAAGCATTGCAACTATTGCAGCGTGGCCTTTCCATGCTGCGTTGTGGAGCGGCGTATCTCCCAACTTGTTCTGCGTCGACATTAGACAGGTAGACAGACAGGAGAGTAAAGTGTGAGTAACAATGAAGAATCAATAGACAATGATGCGTAAGATGGTGTGTAATACCCGAGCATTTAGCTCCAGTCCTGGTATCCTGAGCAGTGCCTGGGCACAATCTGATATACACAGTACAGAAGATGGTAAATAGCTAGACATGAGAGAGGTGGAAGGCTTACCATCATGACCACCGCTCGCTGCCCAGTGGAGAGCTGTTGAACCTGACTTGTCCAGACCATTAGGAGAAACCTAAAGTAAAACCACACACTCCATGGAAACTGTCGCCATACAAAACCACACACTCCATGGAAACTGTCGCCATACAAAACCACAATGATGACGGGGACACAAAACACACACGTATCTAGTGTTACTGCTTACCCTGTTAGTAAGACATTCCTGCAAGAATGGCAGATTCCCTGCATCGGAAAGAGAACCATTTCAAACACACCCAAACATTTTAGTCAAGAGCTGTATACAGCAGGCTTACCTCTCTTAGCTGCCTCATGCAGAGGGTTATCAATTGACTCTGTACTGCTCTCAACTATAATATGAGAGAGATAGTGAAATGCTTTGCAGCAACTGTCATACTAACTGTAATTGCAAGGAATAAGCCCCTCTTTCTTCCCGCAGCGAGCTTTCCACCACCCATCATCTTGCTGGAGGGACATTCAACACACACACATACATCTGTACTCCACTTCAGTACTCCACTTCTAGGCCTGTACTCCACTTCACTTCACCATATGTAGGCCTAATGTGTATCTGTGCTGACCTTCTCGATGATGTAGAGAGTGTCTCCCTCTTCAAAGGAAAGTTCGTCAAACTGTGAGGTGTAAACAGAGGCACACACTATGCTTACTCCAAGGTAAGTATATACCCTGCTATATAACAGTTGTAGCCTCCTGGCTATAAACTAAGGGTTGAGCTTATGGGAAAGAGGGGGAGAGAGGAGAGGGAGAGAGAGGTTAGGTAAGAAAATGTCAACAATGAGTGAGCCCTAAACAGGCAATGCCTCCAAAAAAGGAAGTGGAAGAGATATCTTTTGAACACAAACTGCCACCCACACTCTCTATACATTAATATGTAGCTGACCAACAATCATTGGATAATGGCCATCAAAGCTGGCATTATGAGCAAGCTTATGAGAGAACGAGAGATACTTACGTTCTGTGCTGCGTAGGGGTATACGGCCTTCACAACCTGAACGTGCCCTGCAGAACGAGGGTAGAGAGAGGTACATGTAGCTAGCTAGACTCGATTCGAGAGATAGCTAACATCTTCCATTTTGACAGCAGACGAGAGTTTACTCACCCGGTTTCCTGGGCACCGGCTTGGGAGGAGGTCTCTTCGACATGCTGGCGGCTCTCTCTTTCTCTGCTATATACCGGTTTACTGGCCTGTTACAAACTAAAGTCGAAAAAAGAAGAAGTGACCGTCAGCGCACGTGATTTAACTCGCACACTCGCGAGGAGAACGAGGGCACCCTCGTTGACCGTGCACCGGGGAAAATGGCGACTTGAAAACTCGTCCTTTCTCTCCCAGACAGCTATATTCCCAGCTCCACAGCGTCCCCTGAGACTGGAAAGGTGAGCGCAATCAGTCGGAGCCCGAGCGTACACTTCTGTAGCCGTCCGCAAGAATGTGTTGTTGCTAATTTGCAACCTAACGAGGCCCTAATTAGCAGCGGCCGTTTGTAACCCACCCTTTGGCGTTCTGGAAACTCCAGAGAACTTCTCTCTCGCTCTCCCGGCGTTTTGCAGGTAGCGTGGCACCTGGAAGGAGGCGCGCAGGCATAGCAGTCAACTACTGGTATCTCTGCGACACTGTGAGTGTAGTTTTCAGCGAGGAAGAAGGAGGGCGGTGTTGGCTCGCTCACTCGCCGGGCAGCAGAGACTGAGAGCAGGAAATATGGACAGAATGGAGTCAGGGGATGACGGTGAGCCGCGGAACACACTCTATTCTAGCCCTCGCATTCTGTACACCTGCAGCTCTACATTGTAGCCTAGCTGATACCCTAGTCTTCTCAGGTGTATCCATGGGCTTCTTGCTGACACTCCCATTCCCTCCATTCTCCCCCTCTCTTGTCCTCTTCCGTGTGTAGACGTGGCCAGCAGTGTGTTCTCCATGTGTACAAGTGGAGATGCGAAGTCCCTGAAAGCCCTCTACCTCCGGGAGCCCTACGTCACATCAATCATACAACAGACCCATAAAGGCGAGCCCAGCTCCAAGAGGATCGCGGAGAAGACTCTGTATGCCTCGGCTCTGCGGGGCCACTACGAGACAACTCAGTTTCTTCTGGAGAAAGGAGCTAATCCTAATGCCTCCACGGCGCTCGGCACGCCCATTTACGCAGCTGTCAAAAGCGGTAGCCTGGAGATGGTCAAACTCCTGATAAAGTACGACGCAAACTACAGAATAAAGGGAGGTTTCAGTCCCGTCTACATTGCCTGCATCGAAGGAAAACTCCCGATCCTCAAATACCTCGTCAACATTGGAGCGGATCTGTTCTCGTTTGACAACCCCCCGCTAGTCTTCACGGCGTGCTCCGCAGGGAAACTGGACGTTCTCAATTACCTCATGGATGAGATGGATTACGACATCCACCGCACCATGCACGGCGAAGACGCTCTACGAACGGACGGAAGGGACACTCTGCTCTACACGGCTTGTCAGAGAGGGAAAACGGACGTGGCACAGTACCTGATGTCCCAAGGAGCCTACATCACGCAAACCATCACCAACACATTCCCTCAGATCATAAAGGCTCTACTGAGGGACAAGTTCCGAGCGGTTGGTAAACCGGACCCGATCCAGTTGTACCAGGCGAGGCTGAAGGAGATGGGGCTGGCGGAGATTCCGTGGGGTGTGCTGGCCGACTACACCCCCTGCCTCACTCGCCTCGAGTTGAGGTCAAACTACCTGACCTCTCTCCCCGACAAGATATTCCAGCTCCCGGCTCTGAAGAACCTGGATATCTCTCACAACAGACTGCCGGAGGTGTGTCAGGAGGACGTGCTGTGGGAGTGCCGCAGGTACAGTGGCTGACTCTCTCTCTTCTCTTCCTCTTCTGTTCTTCCTCACTTCCTCTCCCTCTCTTCTCACACACACCAGTGGGGAAAACACCACACTATCATTGCTTGGTACTACACTTAACATAACAAATCAAGATTATGATAATAATATAGAGGTGGAACTGTTGTTGGCATTTTCACCATCTCCAAGACTGTTTGCTCATTCCACCCCCCTCTACTCTCTCTCTCTCTCTCTCTCTCCCCACAGTCTGACAGATTTCGATGCCTCTCACAACCAAATCACCTACGTACCCAGCGGGCTGTTCCAAGTGCCTCAACTGACAAACGTACAACTCTCGTACAACCTTCTCTCCCATCTCCCTGGTGACCCTGATGACCCCAGCGCTCAAACCAGCACCGGTACATATTATACTGCCCCACATCTTTCCGTTTAATATCAACACCCTTCATTTTTATTACCCTGGAAGATTGGACAAAGGGGTGAATTTTGCCACACCTCAATTACTACTATATACCCCTGTTGGAATTAACGGAATTTAATTGTATGTATACCCTTTGCCCCTCCTGTTCTTTTGGACTTGTCTTTTCTCAGTTCTACTCAGTTACACTCAAACATGTATCGATCTTCCCCCCGCTGGCTATATCTCCCCCTCCCAGGTCTCCCAGCAGACATCAAGTGGGTATGTGAGAAGATGAAACGACTGGACCTCTCCCACAATCGTCTCCACAGCCTACCTGACACATTCACCGACCTCCGGAGACTCAATGTCCTCATGCTCTCCCACAACTCCCTCAAAGAACTCCCTCCCTCCTGCTCCTGGGGGTGTATCAACCTGGTGAGTCTGTCACATGACTACCACGTGACCATCACGTGATTAATGATATTCATATAGCCTCTCTGCATTGCTTATTGTGAGTGTGTGAATTCGCCACTCCAGGTCCAGTTGGACTGCACAATGAACCAGCTGACAGATCTACCAATAGGGTGTGCCAATAGCTGGATGCATTCTCTGGAGAGACTGCACCTGGCTCACAACCGGTTTAGCCAGATCAGCAGGAATATCACGGAGCTGATGCACCTGACTGTCCTCGATCTCTCGCACAACCAGATCTCCTCTCTACCTCCCGTGAGAACCGTTCTTACTTGAAGCTCCTCTTCTCTCTATTCTCTCTCTGTAGTGCATTACTTACATATGCCAACTTGCAAAACTGAACGAATGAAAAGCACTAAAATGCAAACCCTCGGCACACTCTAGAGAAATGTGGAACCCATACACAAGTGTGGCACCACCACAATTGATGGTCTTGACCATGCATCAAAAAGAACAGCATGTTATGCACCATTTCCATGGATTAATACCAATAGGTTGAAAAAAAATGGGTAGCCCTATATCTGTTTGAGGGCAAAAAAATATATAAGGTTGAAAAATTGCCAACCTTCATCTCTCTATTAAATTTCGTATTACCCGTGGATTGTTTAGTGCAACCAAAAAATGTAAAAAAAACCCAAGGTTGAAAAAAAATTGTACAAAAAAAACAAACGCCCAGCCCTTCATCTCTCCAGACAGACGTCTACGGACGCAGTGCTATGCCGAACTGTACGCTGCCCTTTGAGAAACGTGGGTCAGTGGTAGATTTGTGGGTAAGGGGAGGAACCAGAGCTGTTCCCAGCCAATGCTCTGGACCACCTGACATTTTAGTGCAGGATCGAGGATTCGAACCGGGCACCTATGGTGTCAGTCCCCACGACTCTAACCACCTAGCCACTCAGCCACTCTGGCTGGCCTTGAGAGGTGATGAAAAAACGTTCCACTTATACCAACAGCGAACACTCCTATATATTACATCATTGTAAAAAAGGCGCACACCCCCGGGATCGAACCAGGGACCTCACGATCAAGAGAGGGGGTGCTTATCCATCAGACCCCACCCATTACTTGATCGAATGGGGGAACAGAAAAGAAGTGAAGTGCAAACCCTTGGCGCACTGTGACGCGCGCGCGTAAGTAAACGCATGCGCCGTACCACTAATTGGTGGGCTGGATTTAGTTTTTAGCTGTTACTCGTGGTCTCTTGCCAGCTCGCGCAGAGTCTGACGCGGGCTAACTACACTACTAGATAGCACGCGAGAGGCGATACACGCCCTGCGTTGCATCTTCTGGTGCCTCCGAGGTACGCAGAGCACGCGGATCGATCATGCCGTAGAAAGCCGTTGTGTATTTGCATATTGGCTTTTTCCTGCTCTAGCTTAGCAACGGAGCGTTTTCAGAGAAAACCGCCTTTATTTTCTGACCTTCGTCGCCCGTTGGGTAGATGGTATCGTTTCTGGGACGAACAGACGTTCCAGGACAGACAAACAAACAAACAGACAGACAGACCCAACTACTGTACCCTCGCTGCGCATGCGCGCCGAGGGTAAAAACTAAACAGCACACACGCAGAACCAGCCTGTTAACACCTATATTTCCACTTGTCCTCTTCCTCCCTCCCTGCCTCCTCCAGACGTCCTGGTGGTCTGTCAGTCGACTGATGAAACTCCAGCTGAGCCACAATAGACTGGAGGTGCTGAGTCACAAGAACGACCAGGAGAAGGAGAGGGCAGCTTCTGATAATGACCGCAGATCCACTGCATTTAGGTGTCTCTCCTAGTATATATGTACTCAGAATCTATTGATATTTCGTACTGTAGAACTAAAACTTTTGTGGAATGTGTATCATTTCGTAATTCACTTCGTGTGTATTAAACGATGCCCCAAATCTAATCTCTAACTTTCTCTCTCTCCCCTCTCTCTCTCTCTCTGCCCTCACCATCTCTCCTCACTGCAGAGTGTTTGATGCCTTCAGAGGACGGCCCCAGCACCAGGCGGCCTCTCCGGAGCCCGCCTCCAGCGAGGCAGCCGACACTCAGCCTCGCGAGCTCCCCGCAGAGCTCTGGTCCTCCTCGCTGCAGAGCCTCTATCTCCATAGCAACAGACTCAAGTGGTTGCCAGGCTACCTGGGGAAGCTGGGAGCTCTTACCAGACTGGATATCAGCAGGTATATACTCTACACTGGGGCATACCTCTCTCTCCTCTCCCCTAAAACTGACAACTATAGAATTTCTGATTTTTTTCAATCGTGAAGGTATTTTCCTTGAAAACTTTGGTCTTACTACGCTTGCCGGCTGACTGCATTCGCAAAACTTTTTCGTGAAAAATATTACGTGATTTTCAAAACGTGTGTTAGTGCTCACCCCTCTCTCTCCCCATTCCTGCAGTAACCCAGAGCTGAAGACTCTTCCTCTCAGTCTCGGTCGACTGCACAACTGCTGGGAGCTGACTCTCCACGGCCTCACGCTCACAAACGTCCCCCACCACCTCCTCCCGGGGGTCAGAGGTGGCTCCGCCAAACGACTCCTTGCGTACCTCCGCGCACAGCTGCGTCACTGTGAACCGTACAACAGGATGAAGCTGATGGTGGTCGGTCTCCAGGGGAGAGGGAAGACGACTCTGCTCTCTGTGTTGCGAAATCCGACGGCTCCGTTGCCAGACAACGTGTCGACGGTGGGTGTGGAGGTCGTGGAGTGGTCTCTGTCTCCTCCGGCACACGTTCTCCGAGGAGTCAGGAAGAACCAGCCGCTGCAGAGGGTACGGTGAACGAGAGGGAGGGCAGGAGTCGTTTTTCCATACGTGCGATATGTAGTATACACTGTTTATTGCCTAAACAGGCTGTCACCATTGGTGCATCTATCCACAAAATTTTTTGCGAATTTAGTGATTTGAACCACGAAACCGCCCACTTTTCCAGTTGTAGTGCAGTTGTCTATCTATTATTATTCCCCCAGCATCAGATGGACATAGTGTTCTCGACGTGGGACCTTGCAGGTCAGGAGGTGTACTATGCCACCCACCAGTGCTTTCTCTCTCGTAACACTCTCTATCTGGTGGTGTGGAGCATGGAGGAGGGGGAGAAAGGGATTGAGTACCTGCGACCGTGGCTCCTCAACATTCAGGTACATATGCAGGATGGACACGGAGCATTGAAGGCACGCTGTGGTATGCACATGAATCGTTTGCTTTGCCGTTGCCTCGCTACCTCGTAGTCAACACATACGTACACATTCAACACTATTGGAAAAACTGCACTTGGAACTAAACTGTAAGTATAGATCAATAGAACTGTGTCTTTTTACGTTTGAGAAAATCGGAGTCCAACTGACACATTGGACTCTACATACAACATAGAACTGAAATGTAAGACTTATGTAGTCATTTCTTGTAACGTACCCCTACAGGCTAGGGCGCCCCATTCTCCAGTCCTGATAGTTGGCACCCACCTCGACAAGCTCCACTTCAACAGAGCCCAGGACCTGAAACAGAAGTACAAGGAGAAGATCAAGAGTCTCTACGGAAAGGCCGGCTTCCCAAGCCTCTCTGCGTGAGTCTAGTGGGTGTGGTCTCGTTTCCTGACGATCTCTCTCTCTCTCTCTGCCTCTCTATAAAGGATAATGTTTGTGGCGTCCACAACCCAGGAGGGTATGAAGGAGTTGCAGGAGAGGATCCACCATGCCGCCATATCTGCCATTGATCACGACACCAGAGACCCCATCATCGGCATGCAGGTCCATTACATACATACTCTATACTCTATACATACAGGTTCATACTAGTACATACACAACACAAAAAAAGAGATGGAAAAGATCTCAGCTATACATCATTTGATCCCTCCCCCCCAGGTCCCCGCCAGCTACATCAACCTCCAGAGACTCATCTCGGAGGAGGTGAGGAGCTGTCATGAAAAGGGGATTCCCCCTGTCCTCAGTCAGAAGGAGTTTGCAGCTCTGGCGGACCGCATGCCTGACTCCGACATATCTGACCCCGAGGAACTCTCTCTTGGTGAGAAGACCTGCCCCCCTTTTCTTTCCTCTCTCTCCTCTGTTTTCAACATTTCTCTACTCTTGGCTCTAATGTTCTCTTGATACATTTCATTTACTGTATTCTCCCCCCTCCCCTCCCCCTAGCTGCCCAGTTTCTCCATGACAATGGTGTTCTCCTCCACTACAACGATCATCTCCGAGGTCTGAACAACCTCTACTTCATCGACCCGGTCTGGCTCGCCGACCTCCTCGCAGAGGTCGTCACCGTACCCCAGCGACAGAACTTTGTCCACAACGGAATCCTGAAGGAGTCAAACGTTGCCTTCATCTTCCACGACAGCCGTCGGTTCCCCAGCAAGTATTTCGCACAGTACCTCCAGCTTTTGGAGAGGTTTGAAATTGCTCTGTCTCTTGGCAACAACCAGCGACTCATTCCCAGCATGCTCCCGATGGAACGCCCGGCTATAAACTTCACTGACCCCCCGACTCCCGAACCCCCAGCCGTCGATGCTGAAGCCGTTAAAGTAACGCAGCGCAGCGCAATACGAGCGACGCTCACCGGTAGCAAGCCGCCAGAGGACAACCTGCGAGTGATGTCAGATCCTGTGAACTGTATCCGTCGACGCTACAAGATGGCGTACACCCCCAGTGGGTTCTGGAGCCGGCTCATTTCTCGTCTCATCATAAACCTGAGGAGGTCGGGTTTGATGGAGGAGCAGGCTACGGTGACACAGAGCAGCAGCGCGCCAATCATCTACTGGAGGAGAGGGATAGTGGTGATCCACTCTGGAGGAAGGTTCATTGTGGAGTCTATTCAGACCGCTGGACATCGTGAGTACCCAACACTAGTGGTTTCTTAAAACACTGGGTGAATACTATTATCAGAAACTATGTTCATACTTAGACAGAGAGTAGTAAGAGCTACACACAATTTACTAGTCTTAGTGTAAGAGCTACACACAATTTACTAGTCTTAGTGTAAGAGCTACACACAATTTACTAGTCTTAGTGTAAGAGCTACACGCAATTTACTAGTCTTAGTGTAAGAGCTACACACAATTTACTAGTCTTAGTGTAAGAGCTGTACACGCAATTTACTAGTCTCAAATTTTCAGCTCTTGATTGACTTTACAGTAATATTATGTGCTATTTTTAGCTCTCGCATTGCGTTTCTGCTGCAATTTTACAATTGTTTTTTCTAATACACCAGCCCTATGTGAACCACTGACTGTGATTGCCTAGACGAGGGTCTGGTATTTGAGATGATGTAATGTGAATTGTCCTCTATATATAGCAGCAGTGATGGGTACGCAGGACATGGAGGCCAGTGCCAAGTTCGTGGGGGAGGGGGTGGACCTGAACATCGGTCTCCAGGGTGTCGACATCACCGTGTGGTCGTTCAACGGAGATTTCTCCGCCATGGGTTACGTGGTCGACCATCTTGACTCTCTCATCGACGAGTGGTTCCCTGGTGAGGTCTGGGGGCTAGAAATACGCTGCATGTTCGCATGTCTTCTCATAATAGTATCCTTTGAGATTTGGGAGCGTTTAGTGACTTGTGGCTAATTCTGGTGGGCTGTATTTGTCACTCTCAAACTGAATTTGCCACATGTACAGTAAAGCCAGAGACAGGAAGGCTTCAGTTTGCATTGGATTTGTCAGTTACTTGTTCAAGTTCTTAGTGACTGGGTGTGGTGTGTGTTGTGTGTGCAGGTCTGAATGACCTTGACGTGGAGGGAGAGTGGCTGGTGCAGAGACAGGTGCTGTGGAAGGTCCCTGGTGAGCTGCTGCAGAGCAGGCTGGCCACAAGAGCAGGTCTCGCAGGGAGCAATGGAGTCTGTTTCCTGACGGGGAACAGGAGGAGGTGAGGGACAGACAGACAGACTCTCCCTCTTTCTCTATCTCACTCGAGTGCTGTCCAGTGTAGTATGTGGCACTGCGAGATACAGTGAAAGAAGACACTTTGGGGACATCAATAAATGTAGGGGAGTCCTGAGTATTGAGCAGAACCAAGTAGACCTTTATTGGGAGGGTCCTTTTTCAAATGCGTCACTGTCTCCCTCCTCCCCCCGCATCTCCTCAGTTGGTGACGTTCCAGGTTGACACCTGTGCAGCAGAGGCTCTAATTGGAGATACCATCATCTGTCGAGAGTACAACGTTCGTGTTCCTCTCCGCCATCTCGTGCCGGACCTCCTCCTCACTGACCTGCCAGCCGACCTCCAGATCGATCAGTCACAGCTGGAGTACAACCCCAGGGACCCCGCCACTCGTCTCGGCCGTGGGGGAGCAGGTGGGCGGGGCTTAGAGTGAGACCACTCCCACCACTACATGTATTATTCTCCCAAAACAGGGGCGGTGTACAAGGGAAAATACCGAAGACAGATAGTAGCAGTGAAGGAGTTCCTCACTGCAGAGCAGGTGGGTGTGGCCAAACTTTGACCCCTGTGCAATCGTAAGCCCCGCCCTCCTCACAGGCGGAGCACACGGGAGAGACTGATATGGTGCAGAGGTCGCTGGTCACTGAGGAAGACGTGATCACGTCAGGGGAGGCCCTCTTCATGTTCCGCGACCTTAGGCAAGAGGTCACGGTTCTTGCTCAGCTGGATCATCCCTACATCGTGGCCCTACTCGGTCAGTCACTCTCACACTTTAAAAAAGCTGTGGGATTACATTAGATCTGAGAAAAAGTTTTTCCACAAAAATTTTACCTCATTTTTAATGTGGCATTTGTTTAGTGTGGCCTGAGCTTGCACCACATCTATGTGCGTTTTTCCTTGAAAAGCTCTCGGCTATAATCAATGCATTTTTCAGAGGGTAAAGTTCAGCTGATAGTGACGAGTGTCTATATTTGCAGGAGTGTCCATCCACCCAATGTGTATGGTGATAGAGCTGGCACCCATGGGGAGCCTGTTTGGAATACTGGACAAACAGGTTGAGCAGTTCCGGGCGGCCCAGGAGGACAGAGCGTCTGCACTTCTGAGGATGCCGGGCGGAGTCCTTGGACATGAGATTTCCACGAGAACCGCTCTCCAAGTGAGTCCTCTTCCTGTCTCCCATTGCTTGTGGTACACATGACCTTCATTCTTGGAATGAGGTCCAGTAGTAAAGATGTGACAATCAGGGGCCCAATTTTGAAATATTCTAGAATAGCTTACGAGCAAGATGAGAAACATTTTCGCAGTCAGTAGCTACAATTTGTGTTCTAGACGAGTTACGTAAGACTCCATTACGTGACAGGTTGCGCTTGGCTCTGCGCTATCTCCATGGTCACGGGGTGGTGTACCGAGATCTTAAGTCAGACAACGTTCTGGTCTGGTCTCTGGACCCCAATGATGTCATCAACGTGAAGCTTGCCGACTACGGGATCTCCCGGTTTGCCAACCCCGGCGGAGTAAAGGGGGAGGAGGGTACTCCGGGGTACCTCGCCCCCGAGGCCATCCGTCGCCGTGGGGAGGACCAGGCATTCGACGAGAAGGTGTGCATCATTTAGAACAAACCTGAAACAATCAACAGTGTGTAATTCTCTCACAGGTTGACATATTCTCCTACTGCCATGCTCCTGTTTGAGCTGCTGACTGGCCAGAGACCGTTCGAATCACTCACCACTACTCAGGAACTCAACAAAGCTGTCTCCCAGGGCGACCGCCCGCTGGTTGCCGAGGGCAACCTAGACCCGGCGTTCCCTGGAATGCTGGACCTGATGTATGACTGTTGGAAACAGTCTGCGATGGAGAGACCCAGCGCCTCCGAGGTAAGCCTGCTGCGTCTGAGACCACACCCACTAATCCCTTGACCACACCCACCTATCCCAGGTGGTTCTGAGAGTGTGTGAGCCGGGCTTCGTGTGTCGTAAGCACACCATCACCAAAAGTAAGGACCACCCTCTCCAGAAGATTGATACCATATACGCCAGACCCATCTTTGCCGACGATTTGAAAAAGAGCTACCAGGTCTGGACCTGGGCTCGTCAGGACACTGAGAGGTGAGGTCGACTTTTTCTATTTTAGATGTGTTACTATTTTTAGTGATGATGTCATTGTAGGAATTTCAGCATCATTGACGCGAGGAAGGGAGTGTACAATCTTCCGGAGAAGAGTGCTCCAGGTGGGCGGGTGTACGCCATGACGGCCACTGGAGAGGTCGAGAAGAGGATTTGGATCGGGACTTCGGTCAGTAGTTGGAGGGAGGGGAGGGAGGGGAGGGAGGAGAATTGTGTGTTTATGGCGAGAGACGTGTAGTTTACTGCCTGAAACTGTGTTTTGAGAAAGTGGTCACGTCACTCATAGTACATACATGTAATTGTAAACCACTAAGATCAAGTCAAGTCAACAATGACGAAACTCACCCCATTGTCATGTCACATTACGGTGTCCCTCTCTCTCTCTCTCTCTCTCTCTCTCTGTCTCTGCGTTGTAGGACTGTGAGATACAAGTGTACGGATATCGCAATGTGGGAGACCCTCAGTGCCTCTGGACGTTCCTCATGAAGGACTCTGTTCTCTCACTCAGTACTCAGCTGGAAGGAGGCAGGGTACGTCGTTTCCTGCGTTCATTGCACACTTTTAGAGGAACTTGCAATTAAAATAATTGATCCTTTTGTACAAACACAAATCAAGGTCACAATTTTGAATGGTTTAAAGCTCTTGAAAAAATTTTCAATCTACAAAATGTAATGTAGTACTGCCATGTCTATCTGTTGTTGGCAGGTGAAGAGGGTGTTTGCATCTCTGGCCAACGGTACCCTGTGTGTGTTCTCACGAACCAGCACCAGTCTAGACCCCGCCGCGGCAACCGTTCCCGTCGGCGACGCCAAACTCATCCCCGAGGCCTGCACCATCAAATGCGAAGACGAGAAGTACAAACAGGAGGCAGAGGATTGGGCTGACCCTCTCGTTTTGAAGCTTGACGAGCGAAACAAGTCGGCCAAGTGCATGGTGTTTGTTGGTCGCGACAAGCTGTGGTGTGGCTGTGGAAACACCATTACCGTCGTCGACATCGTAAACATGATGGTAGATCATAACATCCCAGTGTTCGTAAAGAGGATGGCCCTGGTGAACGAGCTCGTTTCGAACGGAATCAAGGTGTGGGGGGTCGGGCGGCAGCTGTCGTGTGTGATGGAGTGGGACGTTGCCTCGTACAAGTTACTCCACGTTTTCAACTGCAGTGAGATTGACCAAACTGGGACCAACGTACGGGCTGACCCCTCCCTGATTGAAGACCTTATTGACCCCACTCGCTCCACTGATAAACCAACCGCTAACCCCTCCGCCTCTGTCGTGCCCGAAGTAAAAATTGAGGAAACAGTGGAGGAATCTTTCAACGTTCATAATGACCCTACCCCCACGTCGAGCCACGCCCCCTTTTCCACAATGAGGACTCGACAGACGCTGCGAGTGGTGAAGTCTCGGCCTCGGAGAGCGGCGATGACGAGCCAGCAGCCGTCTGCGTCGCCCAAAGCAGCAAGTCGCTCGCGTCTCCTCACAGCCAGGAACAGGGTCCTCCGTAAACAGCAGGGGTCGACTCGCACCACCTCTCTGGTTGTGGTTGATAAGACACTGTGGGTGGGAAGAGGGATGGGCGACGTTCTAGTCATCGATATCACTGAGAACGAAGCGTCTCACGGTACGGTTCTGGCCAGGTTGACAGTTGAAGACAGCGAGAAATACGGAAATCGATCTCATCACAAGCTGCAGTGCGTTGCTGGAGAGTATGTGGTGTCTTCGCAGTGGCTTGAACCAATCGACTTGCGCCGCGGTAGCAACGCGCCACCTGCAGGAGAAGGAGGAGGGTTGCTAGGGCAACTGTCAGACACGCCCCTCGTAACACACCAGGCCATCACCATCTGGGAGGCGTGGAACCAGGATGACATCAGGCAGGTGACCAGGCGACGCGATTCCATTCTGGCCCAGGAAATGAGGGAAGAGGAATCAGACGGTGTGTGAAAAACTTTTTACCGTAGAACTGTTTAGCGTGATATGCCCGACTAAAAATTTTAGATTTTTGTAAAATTTTTTTATTACGCAGTACTTGTACGCATGCGCGTATCGTAACCGCACGCGGTGTGTGTGTACGAAGATGGAGTACTTTGTTCTTGCTGCGGCTGTCTTTTGCCTGCGTCTGGCGGGCTCTGAGGATCTCTACTGGAGACCCAACACTGACTGGAACAATCGTAACAACTGGAAACTTGGGCGCGTGCCGTGCGAGGGAGATGTAGCTGACTTCAGCTCCGTACGTGCTCTCTCGCGTGCGTAGCTGGAAGTGTAACGAACAGAGACGTTTGTATGCAGGTTCCTCGTGGGTCTGTGATACGGCTGGACGGCCGTGCCACCATACGCAGCGTGGTTCTGCCCGTAGGTAGCACCATAGAGCTGGGCAAGTCACTCACACTTCAGTTCTCTAACACCACTTCTTGCAAGAGTGAGACGTTTGCCCAACCGCTAGACTTTATTCAGCTATCCTTATCCTCTTACAGTTGAAACTGCCAATGGACCAATGGTTGCTCCAGTTGAGGTAAGACAGAGAGGGGGACACTGTGTGCATGACAACTGAAACCTGATTTTGTATCCTGTTTGACCTGATTCCACTACTCCGCTGACAGGAAAACAACCTGTTTGTTGGCGCTGGGCCCAAATACTGGGAACACTCCAAGAACTGGGAGACTGGCGATGGGAAATCTGCCACGTCCCCTCCTTGTGGGAAAGACAGAGCTCTCTTCAGGGAGGTGAGGCTCTTTCTCCCTCCACAAACACCCGCTACCCTCTCTCGTCTCCTTCCCAGGGTCACTACTACTGGACTGTGGAGTCCAACATGTCTAACGTGTCAGTGCAGCATCTGAAAGTGAGAGGAGAACTGGTCACAACTGAACTCATCCCAAGTAGGCACATACTCCGCCAAATCCGTCATCTTGTCGCTTTCTCTCTTTGTTTCCTCTCTCAGAAGTGGCTCCAGAGTTTAAACTAAATCTGGTGGTCGACCCGCGATGTGGCGAAGACCCTTCCCTCTGTCCCTGTCTGTTAGAGACCCAACCTCAGCCCTCGCCCGCAGCCGGAGGGAGGAAACGAGAGGGGAATAATTCTGGTCGAACGGCAGCCATTGTCGTTGTCGTACTGATCCTAATCCTGCTGTTGGTCGGACTGACTGTACTACTATTAGTCCTCTGGTGAGCTCTCCTGTTGAGCACCTCTAATCCAGACACTAATGAGACAGAAGAAAGTGTCAATTTTAGTTTGGTGTCCGTATTGCAGGGGTTCAATTCCATGCAAGAACTCTAAATAAAAGGTGACCTTATTAGCTGTTAGAGGGTGTTTCTCTCCTACAGGCTGAGGTGGAGACGTGGACAGTTCTACAAGAAGGACAGTCCTCTTGGAGAACCTGAGGATAGTCTCAACAGCCCTACTGCCCGGTAGCTGCACCACACCGTTCTTCAGTCCAGCAACAATTCACTCCTCCCTCCCTCCCTCCCTCGTCTTTCTTCACAGTGCGGTGTCTGCCGGAGATGGTGTATTGTTGTTTGACAACCCAATATACGAAACGGAAGGAGTTGCAAGGAAGAAAGGGGTTAAAGGCTCGCCCGACAAAGCAGATACTAGAGCCCACGAAATGGAAAATATCGCAATTTTGAGGTGAAACTTAACGTTCTCACTGTCTCACATCTCCTTTTCTCTCTCTGCTCAGGCCATCAGCGAGCCACTATGAACCTGTCGATTTTTCCGAGGACACTAGCTCAGCCTCCAGGCCAGAGAAGAAGACTCCGATTCTTGATGAATACGAGCGCTTGTAGCTCACTTTCTCTCGGAAAGTGAACATTTTGAACACAAGAACTGAAAAACTTTGCTTTACCGTAAAACATGTATGAGAATAGCATGTATGAGATATAGTAGCACACGGTATATATTATTTGTATGATACAAAAATTGAGAAGCTAAAAATTTCCTGGTTCATTTGGTGAGTGGTGTTGGTGAGGTGGGCGAGGTGTTGGTGAAGGTAGTAGGGCTGGAAGGGAGGGTGGTGGTGGTGTACGTGTGGATCTCAACACTTCCCTCATCGAGGAGCGGCTCTCTGAATGACGTGTGGCCAACAACACGAGGCCTGTTCTCCTGAATACCTCGGTTTGTCCTGTCCACACCTGTCGGTATGCCATCAACATACGTTGCATCGTCAGGAATGCTCTGCGGAACGTGGAGCACAATTCTTTTCATCTTCTTTGCGCAGTACTTTGTGTAGCATTTCAGCAGGCAGCTCGTCAGTTTTGGGAACCGCACAAACATTCGGTAGAAGAACACTCCAAACATCACGATGTAAGCCAGCACCACGAGTACAGAGGTGTACTCCGTGGCACTTCTCATGGTTGTGACCTGTTGATCGTGGCCGTCGTCGAGTTTGGCATTGAAGAAGAGAGAACCGAGGAACAGCATAATCAGGTTCAAGAGGAATAGACTGTCAAGGGAATTGACCCATTTGGACTGGAACGGTTGAAGCTCCAGCTGCAGGAACAGTAGGACTGTCAGGAAGAAGACAGTTACAAAGGTGCTGGTTGGCGGAGCCGTAAACGAGGCCATTATGATGGGAACCCACCTGAAGATTAGTCTCAGACCCAACCAGAACCGAAATCTCGGTTTGAACGGGTTCCAGAACGTGTCGTAGAACGGTTTGTATTTCTTGAGGAACTTGTTACTGTAGAGAACTGTTGGGAAGAGGAAGATGATGGGTATGGGTATGATGTAGAACAGGATCAGGAGAATGGCAGCGAAGGCGAGTAGCCCGTGGAATCGAGTGAAATAGACCAAAGTGGGGTCTAGCATCCAGCGTACTAACTTGTGGTTGTCTTCAGTGTAAATCACAGCCGTGCTGAGAAGGTCAAATGAAAACTGTAGGATACTCACATAGGACATAATCAGAAGTGTCGCAAATGCCTCGATTGTTGCAAATGCAGTCTTGGCTCGGACCTTGCAGCATTTGGACTTGAACACGGAGCGGAGTACGGCCATCAGAAGAGAGAGGTAGAGAGGGAAACTCAGCTCCCACCAACTTCGCTCCAATGCCGACATGTTGCTGTGGAAGCAAGTCTCAATACCCCAAGTTCAGAGTGAGCCAGTTGGCCAGGACAGCCACTCTGGGTCCGCCATCACTTGGAGACAGGATCCTCTCATACAGACTGACTATATTGGCCCAGAACAGAATTCCGTTCAGGTAGCCACTGGAGAGGTTGACAGGGAATATCACGAGTAGCGCTATCAGGAGAGCTCCTAGAAGCAGAAACAGGAGAATAATGACGGCATAGTTGTTGGAGCACTTCAGGCATCGGGGACTGCCAAAGACATTGGTGTACCCATCCAGACATGATCCGCAGAGCACACCTCCCCTGTTGAGACTGGGTCGACACTGGAGGTCAAAATTGACAGAGTTGTTCCTCACAGAGATGTTGGCATCGCCTGGCTCACAGAGACCTCGAATGCAGTTCCCCACTGCAAATGTAGATCTGTCCACCGGTCCAACCCACAGCTGTGTCGGGACTCGCAGGACAAGGTTTGTAGAGTCACACTCAACCTCTCTTTCCAACAGCTCCTGGCTGCACTCACAACGCAGTGTGGTCTCCCTGTACTCAAACCCCACGGGACAGTCCAGCAAGTTGACACGAATATCCACCTGGGCTGGTCGATAGCCAACGTCTAGACTATATACTACAATGTTGGTTGTGATATTGGTAGCTCCCAGCACTGCGAGAGAAGTGGAGAGATTGCTGTTGGCAGTATACCCAGTGATTATATTGGGACCCAGGGCAGGTATGATCGTCTGAGACAAACCCTGGGAGAGTTCTACGAAGGAGCCCAATATGGTTGAAATGCTCTGGTCCAGACTGTCCACCGGTCGAATGGGGACTTGTGCTACCTCCCCCGGAGCAAGACTGTACTCTGTGATCCCATTCTCAATGTACACTCTGCTGACTGGAGTGCGAACGTTTCGGATTCCAGTTGGATCCGGGGTAAACTGGAACAGATGGCTGAAATGGGTGTCGAGTATCTGCAAGACGTTGATGGTGTTGTAGGTGAGAATGAGAGGTTGAGACCAGGGGCAGTTGAGCAGAGCCGAGCCAAAGATTGTCCCTGCCAGCAGGGCAGAGTTGTTGGTGAAGCTGACACTGAAGCTGCTAGTGTTGAAGCTGCAGTCGTCACAGAAGGAGAACTGGTCGTAGTTGAAGTACATGAAACAATCAAACAGTGTCGGGATCGGGGAACTGGTGATCTGGTTCACGTAGAGACCTCCACCGTACACCCTCGCCACGTTGTTCGACACATCCAGAGAGGATCTCGGCAGAATTACGAGAAATGCTATCTGGAGAATTATCCCTGCTCCGTAGAACCCTATGTTTCTGGCGATGGATACGTTTCCAGCTATGCCAATGATGCTGCTAGTTCCCTGCAGCGCGGAGCCAATGTTATCCTCAAACACGCAGTCGCCAGCCAGCGTGACGTTGATGGCATTCACGTCGAATACGGCGGTGCTGTCTGAGCTGGAGATGGAGGTAATATCTCCCAGTGTCTCCAGTTTGTTAGCTGTGATTTTGATGTTCCAGGCCAACACCTGGATCCCTAGTACTCTGGCATGGAGTTTCAGCTCCTGAATATAGACTGCAGCACCTCGCGTCGCTCTGTTCCCGGTGAACACACAGTCCTCGATGAAGAAATGTGCACTGTCTGTCAGATCGGCAACGGCTGTGGTAACGAGGGAGAGAATCTCAATTGCCCCTCCGTTTATTGCACCGTTGTCTGTAAAATTTGAGTCCCTGGCTACAAACCCAATCCTCCTCTCGTGAATGAAGACTTGTACTTCAGGAAAAGGTGACACTAGGTCGTTGTACACGCCAATCGCTCCTCCACTTGTGAGAAAGTCGAGGTCAAATTCACTCGACAAGAAGCCGTTTCTGGTAAACAAACAGTTGTCAAACACGGCATATGAGTGAGACGCTCCCTGGAAGATCCCCACGTGAGCTGCACTGCCGTAAGTGGCCGAGTTCTCTTCAAAGACCGTGGAGACAGTGGTAACATTCATAGCAAAGCAGGATTGTCCAAATATGGCGGTGATCCCTCCACTTCCACCGATAGGGTACCCAGCTTCCCGAACCTCGAGGGAGTCGCGATAATTAAACTCCACTGCTGCCAGGTCAGAGCACTCGGTGTTACCAACAAAACTGCTGTTTGTGATTGTCAGGGAATAGAAATCGAGATTTTCGCAGGTTGAGATGTTGGAGTCAACGAAATCCTGAAAGAGAAAGAATGCCCCTCCGCCAATTCTCTCTCCAGTGTTCCTGATGTAGTTTGTGTTGTTGACAAAGGAGCACGTCTTTTGCGCCTGTCTGTTGTTGGAGAAACGGCAGTTTGTGATGCTGGAATCTCCAACTACATTGATCCCAGCCAGCCCTAGACCTGTGGTGTTGGTGATAGCCACATCTTCCATTTCCAGACCAGACACGCTGGCCAGGTAGACTGCCACTCGAGTTCCGGTGGGAACTTTGAAAAACAGCTGCAGTAGCTCCTGAGTGAGACTCACTGCCTGTGTCAAGGTCTCTCCTGTCACTCCACACTCCATGATCTGTAAGTTCCTCAGTGTAAGACCCGATATATTGAGGAACATCAGTCCGACTCCATCAGAGCAAGTGATGACAACATCAGTTTGGTCCAGCCCAACTATGGTGATATTGTCAACTCCACTCACCAGTACTGCCTCACTCAGGCAGTGAACACCACTCTCTAGGGAGACAACAGAATTTGAAGAGATGTTCTGAAGAGCCTTGTGTAGTGTTCCATCTGAGGTGCAAGGTCCACTTGGCTCCAGCCTTTGCCCCCTGCCAACCTCTAGCAGAAGGCAGACTGCCACAATGATGCCAAGCAAACCACACTTTCCCATTTCCCTCACTGTACACCAGCTCTAGCTTCTACAACTGTCTTTCTGGATCAGCCCTAAAACTGCACAATAGCCTCTCCCCTATAAAGGATTGGCACATGAATCTCATAATCACAGTAATCAATCAAAGTTTATCATGTGACATAGAGTAGTGACAATATGAATTTGTATAATTTCACACGCTTATGGAATCATTGAATATGATTGGTATTGTTGATTGGCACAAGGTCAGCTAGTCCTTCCTCCAGTAGCGGTTCTCGGAGTACGGAGTAATTTACCACAGGGGGCGGGGCTTTCTCTTTGTCCTGGGGTACCCTGGTCTTTGTGGGAGAGCCCGGGGTGGGCTGGTCTCCCTCTCCCTCGCTCACTGTCGAGTTTTCCCTCATTTCCTCTCCATCTTGGCTCCCACCTGACACACTATCACCGTCCGTGTGTGGCTGTGTTAGTGGAGTTGTTTCTCTGATGAATATTTCAGCTCTTTTCCTGCGAGTAAGACGGGAGTAGAGAGAGGCAAATGGCCTGCGAATGACGGGGAACCGGTGCTGTACATGCCACAGCACCACTAGCAGAATGGCCACGTAGGCCAGAGTGACAAAGAACGTAAAGTACTTAAACTGAGCCCTGTGGTAGGGGATGTAGCCTTTGTTATCTTCATTTGCAGTGATGGAGATCTGAAAGTACAGGGCCCCCATGGCCAGCATTATTATGTTACTCATGAAGAATGTGTCGAGAGTGTTTCTGAAAAATCCGTCAAACGGTTGTATGGTTACCTGGAGGAACAGTGTACAGACGGCAAATATACCTAGAAATAGGATGTTCATTGGTTGAGGAACGACATAGGCAGTGGTGTAAGGGATCACTCGTAGGAGAAGACGTAATCCAACAAAGAATCTGAATTTGGTCTTGAACGGTGCCCAGAATGCGTCGAGCACTGGTTTTATCTTTACTCCGAGTCTTGTGGTGAATGCGATGCCAGGGAACGCTAGGATGAGGGGAGGAGGCAACACGACAGTCAGCAGCAGAAAGCAAGCCAGAATGACCAGGAACTTGTGGAGACCATGGAAATACTCCTGGTTTGGGTCACTTCTCCAGCTGAGGTAAGAGGCTCCGTCAACAGAACGGAGCAAGAGAGGGCTCAGTAGCTCTATACACACCTCCAACATGGTGGCATAGGACATGAGGAGGATCGTGGCAAACAACTTAGCAGCGGAGAACTTTGCACGGCTGAAGAACCGGGAGAGACGGCGGGATTTCTTTGAGAGAAGGGTGACAATGATCATGAGGAGGAGGAGGTAGAAAGGGAAGACCAGTCTTAGAGCCACTTTGTCCAAGGTTGTCATCCCATCGAAGAAACAATGCCCGATTCCAAAGTCCAGATTGAACCAGGCGACCACAACAAATATGGCAATGTTTCTACTACTGGTGTTGAGAATTGGAACGTATATGGAGAGGACGTTTGTGTAGAAAAGAATCGAATTCAGGTAGCCTTCGGACACCGTAATGTGGAGAAAGAGGATCCCGAATGTAATGACTACGCCGCCAAAAGCGAAGAGAATGATGAGTGAGAGACCATAGTTGTCTTGACACTGAGTGCATCGGTGGGAACCCAACTGGATGCTGTAACCCTCGGCACACTGCCCACAGAGGATGCCCGAACGGTGGTACCGCGAATGACACAACAGATCAAACCCCGGCGGTTTCACCTGTCTCTCTCCGGGGCTGCAAAAGTCAGATCTGCAGTCCGCGACGATGAAAGAGTTGTCCGGTCCCGGCCCCACCCACTTATTATTGGGGACGGTGAAGTTCATCGAAGTGGAGTTGCACTGAATGTCGTTGTGGTTCATGAGCCCCGGCTCACACTCACACCTTCCATTTTGGTACTGAAACCCGACTCTGCACTCAGTGAGGTTAATCTTGAACCCTGTGTGTGAGTAAGAGTCCGTGGCGTAGAGGTAAATGGTGACATCATTCACATTCTTAGCTCCGGTCACAATCATAGGTACAAGGTCGCCATATTGGAGCTCATTAGCAATCTGCAGGAAGCTGAAACTCGAGAATCCGAGCAGCGACGAAACGTTTGGGTGTCCAGGGCTGGGTTTGGAGGAGATGAGGACAGGCAGGCTCTGGTTAAGATGGTCGTAGCCACTCACGTTGAGATAGAACAGCTCACCAGGTGAGTAGCTCAGTTGAAGAGAGCTGTGGATAGTTAGTTTGTTTGTGGGAGTGGTGACTGCACCGACAGTGGTCGGATCACTGCTGAATCTGAACGAATCGTTCAAGTCAAGGTAGAGTATGTCTAGAACGTGAGGTCGGTTGTACTTTTCCCTCAGCTGCATGCTCCAGGGACACGTGTCGAGAGTTGAGCCGAAAATCAGACTCCCGAGAGGTGCCAAGTTGTTGTTCAGCTCCAGAGTAAAGTTGAGAGCCTCAATATCGGGACAGAGGTCCTCTTCAAAACAGATGGTGTCCACATTTTCGAAGAAGAGGAAGCAATCGTGGTGGTTAATGTCGGGGGAAAACGCAATGTGATTGACATACACCGCCCCACCTTCTACTACGGCTGAGTTGTTTTCCAAAACCAGATGAGAATTGTTCACTAGAACAATGTAAGAGTTTGCGATAAGGCTAATAGCACCGCCAAACGAGCCAGTATTGTTGCAAATTACCGTCCGGTCGTGGAAATTTATGACTGACGACACCGAGCGAATGGCAGCTGCAAAGTTATCGGCGATCAGATTATTCTCTCCCTCGAATGTCACGTTGACTCCCTGGAACTCCACAGTAGCCGAAGTGTCTAACTTTGAAGAGGGTATGTTACCAGGGGCATCTTCTGAATAATATATCTTATTATTGGTGAGGACTGTGTTACGAAGGACAGCTTTCATCCCTGGCTGAAGACCGCTCTGTTTCAGCTCTTCGATGTGCATGGCTGCTCCCACAAGAGCTACGTTGCCACTCAGTCTACAGCTGTCCAGAGTAACAGTGTCTCCTCCCCTCGTCTTGTACTTGGAAAAGATGTTGATTGCCGCCGAGTATGACCCTCTATTCTCAGTCAGTGTACATCCCTGTAGGGTGACATTATTGCTCTGTAATAGCGTAGTACCAGCTCCCTGATTGCTGGGGTGAGCGACATCTCTGACCATATAGAATCCAGAGCCATGCGTTAGTAATTGCCTGTCGTCCAGATCTCCAGTAAGGCCGTTCCTGTGGAAACGGCAATCTCTGAAGGAGATGTTGTTTCCAGCAGCTCCTTCAAACAGGGCCAGGTAAGACCCTCCACCCAAAAGACTGGTGTTGTTTTGGAAGAGAGCAGAGGTAACGGTCACGTCTGCAGCGTAGAGAGACTGTGCCAGGATCAGTGACAGACCTCCGCCTGCCCCCAGCGAGTAGCCGAACCTCTCCGTCAACTTTTTATAGTTCGTGTCGCTCACTTCTATGTAAGCAGAGAGGCCGCAGTAGGAATTGTTGACGAACTCCGTGTTGAGGATCTGTAGCGAAGTGAAGACGTTTTCCGATGTTTGGTTGTAGTCGGCGAAGATGAAAAAGGTCCCTCCGCCAACCTGGTTGTTTTCCGTAGCGTTGACGTTCGTGAGGTTATCCAACGGCAGTCTGTAGCAGAAGGGAGGGCGGTTGAGGGAGAAGGTGGAGTTTTCCACGACAGCCGAGCCTCGCGGGTTGACTACCAGCATCCCCAGTCCTTCTGTGCCGGTCACTTCCACCGCGCGAACTGTAAAATCAGACACCATCCCTGCAGCAACGGCGATCTTGTCCGTGGGGTGAATGTCGTAAAAAAACCTTGTCCTGTTCTTCAGCTCCTCCTGGAGGTGATCCAGCTTCCCCGAGCCCGTAGCTCCGCAGCTAACGACCGTCAAACCTTCCAGAGTCAGCGTGCTGACGTCGAGAAAGGCGAGCCCAACTCCTACTGTGCAGATGACTACGACACTCTCCCGGTGGCTGACGTTCCCCGAGAACGTCACGTTGTGTAGATGCTGAACGTAGCCGAACTCAGTGAGACAGTGAGTGCCGAGGAGAAGGCGGTAGAAAGTGTCCGACCTGACATCTCCCTGGGAAATAAGGGAGTCGAGAGTCGTGGCTCCGTCAGCTCTTTTCTCAGTGCAGTTCTGCGGGAAGACGTCTACAGTTGCTGCTCCAGCGTACGTTAATAAGCATGCAGCAGAGACTATGGAAAGACACGTTAGGAGGGAGAGGGCAGCGGCCATGGCGGCAACCGTGGATCTTTATAGTCAACACAGGAAGTGACACTGTTTTGTTGGTATAAGTGAGCGTGGCATAATAAAAGAGGGCGGGGCTCGCTTCGACAGCTGTTTTCACACGTCATTGCAAAAATCGCGACAATATGCACTGACTACTTAGTTACGAGTGCAAGGCAATGCCTGCCGTTTGCACTGTCTTTCCTATCTTGTCCATTGCCTCCAGCTTTGAAATGAATGCCTGCAAAAACCGCAGAGAGGTTGAAAACTTACACACATGCAGGAGAATGGCTCACAGTAGGTCCAGACTCATTGTGGGTCTGAGCAGAAGAGCAGTAGGCAATACACATACTCTCAGTCGTGTGTCCCCAGGAAAACTCCACTCCACCTTAGGCCCACAGGAAAATGATGGCAGAGTTCTTGATAATAATTCTCTGGACTGGGTATGAAGGCTAATACCTTGGTGGTCTAGAGAGACAGCAATAACACCAGCCAACCTTTCCTCTACCCCTGTCAATAGTCTGGACTCTGCATATAGTAAGAAGCCATCATATCATAACTATAAGATGGTGGTCCACAATCTATACCGAGGAACTTTTCTCTCATAGCTACATGAAGCTGGCCCTCGGCTGCAGCTCTATGGAAAACGAGTATTAGTTGATAATTGAGTAGAACGATGATGTCATCATTACAGGGCAGCTTCTCTGGCCAGCATAGTCTTTATGATGTACTCCCCCGTTCCTACACACGATTGTGAAAAATTAGAGCCATAAAAAAAATGTAAAGAATGTTCACCAGATGTGCTGCTAGCCACAGCTCTACTGTGAGGACCAGCATCTCTCTCTGCCCAGCATCCACACCCATACACCGCAGCCTGCGAGACAAGAGAGGGATGGAGAGAAGGGGGTTGGAGGGCTTACCTGCCCAATTCTGCCTGGGAATTTTAACGATATTCCACCACTAGACACGCCTCCTGCCACTCCCCCTCGTTTGTCAACACATACCGCACCAACCGTATCCAACGGAGCCTCTGAAACACTCTGCAAAGAAATTTCTATAATTATGGTTTTTTTGCCAATGATAATTCTTGCATTATGAATGGGAGGCATCTTTCTTTTCTTGACAGGCGGATGAGCAGTGATTTCATCCAGTCTTGATTTGTGGTCAACGTACACACTCCGAGCTCTGTCTGAGGAGAGAGAGGATAGAGAGGAGAGAGTACTTGAGGGTGAGGCCCAAGAGAGCGGAGAGAGAAAGAACCAGTAATGAGGTCATCTGGAAGACAGAGATTCAAGCCTTCTTGTCTCGCCCAGGCCCCAGCTCCTTCTGCCACTAACACTCTGTATAATGTATACCACCAGACAGTACACTATAGTCATATCACAGGAGTCCTAACATTGGGGAGACTCTTCCTAAAGGTAGGCAGCCTTCAGAGCTTTTCTGTAGCAGTCTCAACGCCAGGGATATTGGGTTTGGCACACCTGAGACGGAAACAGTTGAGAAATAGGAAGAATGGAGTAAGGAGTGATGGTTATATCCAACCAGAGGCAGCTCCAACAGCTCCAAACCCTCCTCCGCTATCCATGATACTGGCATCGCACTCAACCGTACCAGTCAGAGTCAGATTAGAGCCACGACCGGCATTTGTCAGGGGACTGTTCTGTGTGTGAGAGAGAGGAAAGATAGTCTCAGGTTAGAAAAACGATTTAGTACCTCTAGAACTGAAATGGCTCTGGAGATTGCATCACTGCTCGTATGCCCAGCCTCCAAAAGAACCATGGCCTGTAAGAGAAGAAATAAGCTGCCATGTGGTAGACTCTCTCCTCTTACCTCCTTGCAGGCAGTTCTACACACAGCTTTTAGCTCGGAACTATTGGAATTACTGTGGTATCCTGCTCCTGTATAATTATGGAATAAGGAAAAGAGTTATAGATTTTTTCGTGGAAATCTCCGTTCCCTGCTAATGCTGGATATGCCATGCATTGCCAGGTGGAAGAGGCTCGCGGGAGAACTCGCAATCGGCGCTGAGCGGTCTCTTGCCTGCATGGACGGCCACGAACGGAACAGCCATTCCCCCTCGCCCCCTCCGCTCGAGCATGCGCAGTTCAGATACAGTCGTGCGGGGAATTCCCCTTACGCCACCACGGGGGTGGAGCTAGCGCACCGTCCAGCAACCGAAGAAACACACGAAAAAACTTTATGTTCACTGCTATCTATTTTCTTCCTCTTCTTCAAGTCTCTCTTTTTCGTCCAGCTCTGCCTGAAGCGAAGCCTGGGTTTTAGTGTAGGCCTCGGGATACTGCATAGCAACTCGAGACTTCAACAACCTGCCAGATAGAGACATTTCACACAGCTCTGCCTCAGTCAGGTGATAGTCACCTGATTCTTCTAAAGACTGAATCAAGCTCTCTCTTCATGCTGGTGAGGGTCTGGGTGTAGGTACGGAACTCTGCCACGTGGAGATCAAAGCATTTCTCAGAAAGAGCATTGAGGTGAGAGAGCTTCTCGTTGGCCACCTCCAACGTCTCCAACCTGCTCAGAGAGAGACTGGTAGTGTCTAAACTCAAATCGTAATACGAGTCACTATCTAGGTAATGTTAGAAGTTGGCCACTTACATGCCATCCTGTTCTGAGAGTATCAGGTGGACGTTCTCCTTGTTTATCAAACCCGACAACCTGTCAAGGAATCCATCGCAGAGGTGTCCTTCACGCTCTTTGCTGACCTCCGCGCTTGCTGCCATTGTTATGGCGCGCAATAATTAGAGTGATGTGTGGGGCATCAATTAGAAACATGAGCACGACGAGAAAGGGTGACGGCGTCAAGAAAGGCCAGCGATACCAGAACTCGTGGACCTACAAGCCAAGACTCCACGAGACAAAGAAATCAGATCCCTCGACAGTTCAGCTGGCGGGTCTGTGTCCGCGTTGCAGGGAGATTATTGAGTGGAAGATCAAATACGACAAGTACAAGGCGCTCTCTGCCCCTAGAAAGTGGTACGCTTGTTTTCCATGTCTCTCAGCCTGTCTATTGACCCTATTCTGTTCTTCCAGTACACTGTGCGGCGGCAGAAAGGTTCGGCTGGCCTACCACCACGTGTGTCGGAAGTGTAGCGGCGAGAAGGAGTTGTGCGGAAAGTGCGGGAAGCCTGCCAGAGGGACGGAGGCAACCCAGAGGACTCTCACCGAGCACTCTGATCACCAGCAACAATCTTTAGAAGAAGAAACCGTTACAAACGACTGTATATAGATAATATTTTTATGACGTCATGTGTGCTTATCAGTTCAATCTAATAAGGGGGGCGTAGCTGGATTTTCGCGTCAATTTAGAATCTCGCAAAAACTGCCGTTTTCGTCGAGGTATCTTGTTTTCGCCATGCCTCGCACCAAGATAGTGGTGAGTCCAGCAGCTCTGGGCGGGCAGGAAGAAACCGTTCCACGTGAACGTGTCAGCGAGCACCACCAGCTACCAAGTGGTGGCCAAGGTTTTGGAGAAATTGCAGTCTCGGGATCCGCCGCTACGTTACCAGCTCTGGGCCACCAATTCCGAGCGAGGTGAGCACGCCAAGCGCAATATCACTGCAGTGTACCGGACAGCTAGAGGCGTTCTGCTCAATGCAGCTTTCATGCATGTTGTTTGGCCACACGCAAACACATGCATGTTACTCTACGGGAGACGTTTCTCCTGGAGGTATGCGTGGGAGGCGAGTGGCTGTATACACACCACCTGGCAGCGTTAAAGAACGGTTCTAGAGCAGCAGCATGTCTGATACAGCAGGCTGCGTGGCCATTAGCTCGAGCAGTTTGTGACCACTCATTGTTAGAGTGTGTGAAAGGCATGTCCACATGTGTAGAGGGAGGCTCTAGCAACATTGTGGCTGCAATAGCACACACACACACTGTTCAGTTCTCGAGGGACATAGCATTCACTTGAGAAACATTTCTGTTTTGCAACACTAGTAATGGCGTCTCTGAAAATTTCAAGAAGTTGTTTACATGCGGCTATCTGGCCCTGCTGCAGAGCAATCATTGAGAGATGATGAGTCCCCCGCAGCCGTCAGGGAGAAGTGGGCGGGGCAGGGGGCGGAGCCTCAGTTCCAGCTGCGACTAAGAGCAAGTGGATTGTTCGTGTTCAACACAGACTCTCCGGAGACCAAGAGGTAATCGCACCTTCAGACAAGTGTTGAAGAGTTAGATATTCTTATCTCTTGTTTGCGGCAGACGTTCCTGAGTCTGATAGTGACCCCTCACATGACGTCATGTGACGTGCTCCAAGTAGCTCTGGCCAAGATCTCACCTCAGGACCTGCCAACCAACTACCTTCTCATAGAGAAGACCCCTCATGGAGGTGATCATTTATAACCACATTACTGGATCTATTTATCGCAGCAACTGACTTGGCAATTAGCTACATTAAACTGCATTTGGGGGCAACTTCTTTGCCATTTTCCGCATAATTGTTGGCAGTCTGTAGCAAACTGCTAAATTTTTATGCAAAAACTTATTGTTGCCAAAATTAATAGGCAATCCAATCCCTACGTACTTTGTACCTATTTGTTGAGTCATTTCTCGCATGGTTGGCTGGTGTAGCGTAGTGTTATTCTCCCTACATACAGAGAGAGTAATTGGAGATGAAGAGTGTCCTCTCCTCCTGCAAACTGGAGCAACACAACTCCTTCTCAGACAAAGACAGCTACCCCCAACACACACCCTCACTTCCACCTCCCCCGATCTCTCCCCCACCGAATTCACCCACTCCCCACTCTCCTCCACCTCCTCACCAAGCCACACACCCTCGGCTCTATCCGTCCAACGCAGCTGGCTCTCGATGCACCACGACCTCATCTCCTCCCTCTCGCAGTTCACCTCTGCACTCCAGCGACACGGAACGAGACCGGAGACGGGAACGGGTCTCGGACCAGGATTCTGGAACAGAGTCTGGTCCAGCAGAACCAGGTGGTGGACATGCTGCAGAAGATGGTAGTGTCGCTGGAGAACGAAAACGAGAGGGTGCGAGGGAACACTGTCAGACTGGAGCGCAGAGTCCAGGCCCTCAAGATGTGGAAAATGAGAGCTCGTCTCGCCGAAGAACGATTAAAAGAAATGGCAGAAAGTTCGGGTATTCTGGGCTCTAGTAAAGATGGGATTGTTTCTTTTTCTGCCCTCGCTAGTTTTGAAAAGTTGCTGGTCGAGAAAGACGAGAAGATTGCATCGCTACAGTCGAGGGTGGAGGGAGAAGAGGAGGAGAAGGAAGGGAGCGAGACCATGTCTGTGAATCTCCGATCAAAGCTGGCAGCAGAGAGAGTGAGAGTATTGGAGCTGGAGGAAGAGCTGCTGTCCTCCCGCGAAGAGTCCAGGAAAGCTCTCAGGGAGTTGCGTGACGCCCAGTCTGACATGGTGAGGAGGGAGTCGGAGGTCCACTACCTGCGGCACGAGGTGGAGACTGTGAGGAGAGTGGGCACCCAGCAACGAGAGGTGGTCATGGGTCTGAGGGCCGCACTCTTCGATAGAGATGCTCAGATCGCTTCCCTCACACGAGAGAGAACCACTGCAGAGAGGGGGAGACGAACGCCTGCCCCTGTTCGTCAACGCCAGTCCATATTTGATCTTCTTCTGGGTAGAGAGGTGTTCAATATTGAGCTGGCTCGTCGATCAGAGGCCGAAAACCTCGGTTTTGGCGTCAGTCGTTTCGAAATGCCGATATCGTCTCGGAGTAGCAGCCTCATCGTGACGGGAGTCAAGGAAGGGAGCCAGGCACAGGGTCTTCTGTTGCCCGGGAGACGAGATCCTGGAGGTGAATGGGTTCAACTGCCGCAGTGTGGCGTCCAGAGGAAAGCGGTGGAGATATTGGAGGCAGCTAAAGGTAGTCTGAAGATTGTGGCGGCCAGAGAGAATGGCCCGGCAGACATTGTCGGGAGACTTCGCAGCACTCCAGTCATCCCTGACAGGTCCCACTCTACTCTGTGGACCACTGCAAATGACGCCTCGTTTTCTCCTATCAGTCCCCACCTCCCCTCCAATGACGTCGCTCTGTCCTCGTCGCCACGTCACTACAAACTGACACTCTCCTCCCCCGCCTCCTCCCCTCCCCACACACTCCCACTGGCTTCACAGATAAGACCACAGCCCATCGGTCAGGGAAAACTTATCGAGCCCGTCTCCCCAGAACACCTCGAGAACCCCACTTCCAACACCGGCAGAGCAGCTAGTAGCAAGAGTAATTCGGTGGACGAGGGGTTAAGACTGAGACAAGAAGAGCTGGAGGAGGAAGTAGACGCAGCTCACGGGGAAATTGATAATCTGAAAACAGAGAACCAGCTTAGTGCGGCTCAGAACTCTGACCTCCAGCAGAAGCTGAAAACCAGCGAGAGAGAAATGGCCGACCTCCGGAGAGAGGTTGAAGAGGTGCAGGAACTTCTGACGGGACTGAGGGAGAAGTTGGAGAGAGAGAAAGAGAGAGTCGGTCGTCTGGAACACCACAACGGTTCTCTACAGGAGAAATTCTCAGAGGCAAATGCAGAGAGGGATTATGAAAAGCAGAGAGTGTCACACGCACAGGAAGAGATTGTGATACTGAAACTGGAGTTTGAGAGGGAAAAGAGCGAACTTGCGACAGAATTGTCGACAGTTCGGTCGCGAAACGAGCTGTTGGAGGACGAGGTAAAGTCCCAGTTGGCTAAGGCAGAGGCGGCCCAGAGCCACGCAAGCCAGCGAGAGGCACTGAGAGAAACGGAACAAAAGGAGGGAGAGAAGTTAGTGCAACAGCTTACGAATGAACTGCAGGAACTTCGAGAGAGCTCAGCGAAAGAAGTGTCCTCCCTACAACTAGAGGTTGATCAACTCCGGGGCCAGCTAAGCACCATGATACCTCAGGTTGAAGCCGCGGGGAAGAAGGAGACGGAAATGAAACACGAGCTGCGTCACCTAAGACAGGTCGCCAGCGAGAGCAACAAACAACTGACGGAGTTGGACAAGGCCCACCGGAGTCTCAAGGAGAAAATGGCGGGCATAAGAGAGCAAGCCGAGTCTAAAACCCTCGAGTGTGAGTCACTTACTCTGGGGTTAAAGAGAGCAGAGGGGAAGCTGCAGGCAAACAAGAACGTCTCCTGTCGCCAGCAGGAAGAGATCGATAACCTCCGTCGCAAAAACAACACACTACTCGTCGAGCGAGTCAAGGCGGACGAGGGACGTAGCAAGACCGAACTAGCCCTCAATAACTGTCGCACAGAGCTGGCCTCACTGAGGGACCAGCTGGAAAAGCAGTCGGAGGAGAAGGACCTGTTTTCAGAGCTGGAGACCCTAGTGGCTGAGAACACTGCCCTCCAACAGCAGTGGGATAGTTCTCAGGGGCAGGCAGAGACAGAGAGACTGTGCCAACAGCTGGAGGGTGTGCAGGAACAGCTAGATGAAGCCAGGGACTCTCTGCAGACAACTAGTGGGGAGAGAGATGAACTCAAAACTGAATTGTCTCTCCAGCAGTCCAAGGTGGAGGAATTGAAGAAGAGTTTAGCTGCGAGTGAAGCAGCTCTGGGAGTGGCCGAGGGAGGGAAGAAGAAGAGCGAAGATCTCGTGTCCTCAATGACGTTTGTACACGAGCAGGACGCGGGAAAGACCAGAGAGCTGGAGGAGACAGTCGCGACAGCTCAGAGAGGGCTGGGGGAGATACGACTCGAGGCCACTAGAGTTCAGGAGGAAATGGGGCGTGAACTGCAGCAGCTGGGTGCCGAGTGTGCTGGACTGAGGCAGCGAGTGAGGGGGCTTTCTGACCAGCTGGACAGTGAGAGAGAAGGTCGTGCTGGCGACGTGAAGAGTCTGAGAGAATCTCTCCAGACCAGCGAGCGGAGTGTGTGTCACCTGCAGTCAGAGCTTCAGGCGAGGGAGTCCGCCAACAGCATCAACCAGGCAACCATTGCCCAGCTCCAGACAACCTGCGAGCAGACGGAGCAAGAGAAGGCAAAACTGGAGGGAAGCTTGGAGGAAGTCCTGCAACAGAACCGCCAACTCACCGAGGAGGTGGAGAAGCTTCGGACATCTGTTCGGCAGCTGGAAACAGACAACGCAGCTCTGGCGGGAGAGAAACAGAGTCTTGTCGAGAGATGTGCCGAAGTAAAATCAAGCCTTGCACAGAGCAGTGGTAAGATTGAATCACTCACTGTAAGATTAGAGACGGCACTCACAGAGCTCGGCCAGACCCAGGAGAGGCTTGAGAACAAACACAGAGAGGGTCAAGAGGCAAAGAAAAGTCTAAATGAGCTAGTGAACAAGTACCGGGAGAACGAGAAGAGGTGTGAAGGTGCAGAGTCCAGAGTGCAGGAGGTCACGCTGACCCTCCACACGAGAGAAGAGGAGGTGTCGAGACTCAAAACTCAGCTGGAGGTGTCAGAGAGTGCGCAGACCCAGTTACAGAGGTCGGTAGTCTTGCTGCAGTCAACGACCGCCTCCCAGGAGAAGAAGATAAAAGTCCTGGAGAGAGAGAGAACTAATCTGGCGTCAGCCGTGGAGCAGCTGATGGCTTCGCAGGCAATGCTGAAAGAAGTTGTGTACTCGTTGGAGAGCGAAAAGGCTCAGAATGAGGGAGCAAAGAACAGAGAGATTGAGTCCCTAACGCATCAACTGGAGGAGAAGGTGGAGGCAGAGAGAGAGCATTTGGGGAAGATTCAGCAGTTGGAGAGAAAGTGGAGGGAGTCGCAGAGAACGACAGAGGAACTGCTGGCTGCGCAGGAGGCTCTGCGGGTGTCTCTGACGTCTCTGGGAGACGAGAGGGAGGGAGAGGTGGCGCGACTGAGGGGGCAGCTGGTGTCCCTGGAGAGCAGTCTTGTGGCCGCACAACATGAGGCCTCGGAGGCCAACACAGCGGAGGAGACTCTGAGGGAAGAGTTCTCGAAGACTCTCGAGGAATCGGAGCTGGGGTCAGCAAAGTGCTCACAACTTCAGGAAGAGTTGGAGGGTCTGCGGGAAGAAATGGCGGAGCGACGAGAAACAATAGCGAGACTTGCCGAACTATACGAGAAGGTAGGAGTGCTTGAGAAAAGCCAGAAGGAGAGAAGCGATAAGATTGTGGCAGCAGAGAGCCAACTGGAAGCCACGTCCAGAGAGTTGCAAGTGGTGAAGACAGAGAACGCGGCTCTGTTGGAGAGAGTTGGGGAAGTGGCTTCAGTCAGTCTGTCTCTGGCAGAAACCACGGCTCAGCTGGAGAAGGTGAGGGGGGAACTGGCGACAGAGGTCAAGTCACGGCGGGAGGCGATGGAGGAGAAGGAACAGCTGCTGGGGGTCCTGAGGAGACTGGAGGTGGAGAAACATACTGTGAGCGTGGCACCGGCCCCCGAGGCCAGCTCAGAGTGGCAGGAGGCCGACCGGGAGAAGCTGCTCTCTCTGACCAGAGAGAAGGAGGAGGAGGCGGCCAGACTGAGGGAATATGTGTCCAAACTGCTCTCGGCTGTGGTTGAGAAAGCTCCGTTTCTTCTGGAGAAACTGTCAGATTGAGGCTCACAATTATATACCACAATCATCATGTGTAACAGCACCACTCTGTTCTAGTGCTATTGCGATGTCCAGTTTCTTTTTCACAAAGTTTTATCACAATAATCAGAGAAAAAACAATTTTGCTAGTGTATCTAGTGTTCTGGTTGCTATGGTCACTGGTCCACTGATATGGCTGTGGCATCAGGCAGATAGCCTTCCCAAACCCGAATCAGCTGCCAGTCAGAGAGGAAGAGAGGAGAGAGAGAGAGAGAAGGGAGAAGAAGGAAGAAGTGAGATCACATCATCATGAGAAGTGCAATTATTAGAGGGGCAAAAAGACGTGACTGTATAAATGATTCTCACTGACCTCTTGTTGCATACTCATAAGTGACTCCAGATAGCGGATGATCTTTTCCTTGAACTCTGCAGCTCTCTCACTCTGTCACACATAGACAAGTGAATTAATCATCTCCATAACAACCTGGAGCTTACCTCGAACCTCGTGACCTCCGTCTTGAGCGTCTTCGATGCGTCTTCAAATGCCTTTTGACTCTCCTCCACCTTCTTCTCCCACTGCAGGGGTCAGAGCTCAGTGGTATCCCAGCAACCAGACCACACCCACCTCCTCTATCTCTGTCTTGACGGCCTGCAGTTTCTCCATCTTCCCAGAGGCAGTCAGTTTCTGCTCCTGTTCTCTCTTCTTGCTGAGAGTTTGTTGGCAGGTCTGCCACACGTGGTACGCCCTGACTCTCATGTCAAAAGCAGCCTGTACACAAGTGACAGCATCAAACGGGTTAAAAAAGAGAACATAAAAGAAAGGGTGGGCAATTGAAATAATGGAGCTAGTTTTCATTCATTGGCTCACTCTGATGGCTCCCAGGAGTGAGATGTAGTCTTTCACAGTCTCCCCAAACGTGAACAAGTCTTGTTTTATCTGCAGCAAGACAAACTCCTTCTGAACAGACATCTTGGCAGGACATCGAAAGTCAAATCCCTCTTTTATTCAGGTACATGAGGTTCAGTGTGTCCAGTGTTACGTAATGTTACGTAATGTTGGGTCACCTGTTCACTGTGAAGGCTCTCGACTTTCTCCTGCACCTCAGAGAGACGAGAGAGAGCTCGAGACACTGTGTTATTCTCCTCAACGTTTCCTAAATGACGTAGCAGAGAATGAGATACAATCTACACTGCTGTAATTGACAGGGGCCTTACCCAGAGTTGCAACACTCTTGACGAAGTTACCTGTCGTCGTGCAGAGCTCTGTTCAGAGTGAGAGAGGAAAAGAGAGAAATGAAGGAGGAGGAAGGGAGGGTAAATAGACAAGAGCAGGAGCTGGATTATAGCGTCATACTGACCTTTGCGACTGTAGATCATGCCCTCTATTGCCTGGTGGAGTTTCTTCAGATGAGCGTCTAGAGCCTCGTAGTTCTGCTGATGTTCGTCAAACCACTGCCAGAAAGAGAGAGAGAGAGAGAGAGAGAGAGGTCAACCAGAGTTAGACCCGGTGTATAGAGGAACATACGCTGTCTGTTTCACTCTTCTTGCTGGCAATCTTGGAGATTGACTGTCCGACGTTCTTCACCAACCTCATGAACCCAGCTCCACTTAGGGCCGTTGTCTCTGTGGCTTTAGGCAGCTGAGGGAAAACAGAGAGACCGTACCTCCACACATCTCGTCAGAGGTTAGCTCCGCCCACCTCTGCTGGGTTCTCGAGGAAGTCGATGAAGTCAGCGTCTTTTCTGAGGACCGGGTGTTTGGCTACTCTGTTGAGGTAGCGCTGGAGAGCCGCCTGCCGTCTCTCCAGAAACATCGCATTGCCCTCTTCACTCTTTGAGAACTTGACTGTCGTCATCCCTGGGTGGCAGGAATCACGTCAAATGCAAAAAATTCTCCACCTCAATGGAGAAAACGCTGTGTGGGTTTAAAGCTGTCAGTGAATTTTTTCTCTTAAAGATTTTGTAAACAGGCTTTCTACAATTTGCTAATTTTAAACCAAATAGTTATAATGCTTATATTTCATTAAAAGTTTGCATGCGGCACAGTGCGAAGGGGTAATGTGATATAATATTGTGAAACAATAGCCAAACTCTCTCTCTCCCCGGATCAGTTGGCTAACCTCTAACACTCTTCTCTGGAGCTGGAGGCACGATGCGACCTTTTGGGAGGTGGGTCTCAGCCATCTTGTTGTGCAGTCGGAGGAAATCGCTGAACCTCCGGCGAACGCTGGCCTCGGGTGACTTGAATGCTGGCACGGTTGTCTTGGTAGTGATGCAGTAGACAATGTAGGCCCCCATTCCGTCTCCCACCTTCTCGGGGTCAGAGACCGTGATCTCCAGTTCATACTGCTGTAAATCCTCTGCCTCTTCTTCCTGAACATTGAGTGTGAAACATTCACCGGTTGTGCTACAGCGTATGTGCAGTGCTACACATCCATTGACAGTCTGCACAATGTACGCCAGACTCTGTGATGTGGTGGTACAGGCACTGTAGAGGATTTCCTTGCACCCGAAACACCGACACACAACACTAGAGTGGATGCTGGTGTGTAATTCTACAGGTCTCAGTACACAAGGCCTTACTAGACAATCAAACAACACAGATCAGTCCATTATGGTACCAAAACACACCCTCACCCTTCCTTAATGGGTTTCTGAATGCACACTTATACATGTGTATATTTCTTCCAATGTGGAGCCAAGCTACAGTTTCTGGTACCTGGGAGCTCACGTGAGGCGGAGGAGGCGGCTCGTCGTCCTCAAAGAGGTCCAGAGTCTTCTGCGGAGGTGTCTGGGTGACCGGCTTTGCCACAGGGGCGGGCGGCTCATCCTCCTCTACCGCATGCGCTTCCAGAGTGGGAGGCGGAGCGGCGGAGACGGGTGCTGGTTCCTGCGGTTCAGGTTCGGGCTCCACCGTAGGGGGCTCGTCTTCTTCCTTGTCCTGCACCTCCTCCTCTTCCTTTCCTCTGGCTCTGCTGTCATGGTGGCCGCGGGTTCCTCGACCTTCTCCCTTGCTTCCTCGTCCTGGAAGTCCATCGGTGGAGGCTCGTCCGCCATGCTACACGGTCACTGAACCCTTGAGTGTCTACAGCTTCTCGATTTCCAATCTGCTCACTCGGTACGCAGGGGAGAGCTCGAGTTAGCTATCTCAGCTCAGCTTTCTTTCGCCGCAGCCGATCACGTGCTACGTGGGTCCCGGGGGGCGGGGCTGCGCGGCGCCCGTTTAAATAGCCACGCCCCTTTGAGGAACGCGCGTGCGCAAACACGGTGAAACTTCTATAATTATATACACGTACACGGAGGGAAAGTAATACAAAGAACGAGTCATGATTCTAGCTGGCGGCAGCGCATAGCTGGTCAAACAGCGCCTCCTGTGAAGGAAAGAGACAGAGTATTAGACAAGTAGAGAAGATCATTATTCCCACCTTCTCCAAGTATTCCTTCACAAACAGGTGTTCAGGGTGACCGTCTTTGAGCTGGGAGAGATACCTGTACGCCACCTGCACACACATCATTAATTTGATGGTGATTGAATCAGGTTCAACAGTAAATGCAAGTCAAGTGCACAAACAATTCAATGAAGCCCAGGGCAACAGCAGTGCCGGCAGGTGGAGCTGTGTGACATACCTCATGAGGCTTGTGAAGGTACTGAGATACTGCCACTAGGTTCACCAGTGTCTCTGGATTGTTGTTATCCTATATATATATAAGAGCCAAAGTGAGAGTTCTTAACAAGGAACCGACTCTCTTTCTCACCTTGGAGAGGGCCTCAAGCAGAAGAGACTCGGCATCTTCGTACTTGGCCTGGTGGATGTAGGAGACAGCCTGGCCATTCAGGAGCAGAGGAGTGGGTGTGGTCTTGTCAGCCATCTCCTGGAATATGTAGTAGGAGTCCTGGTATTTCTCCCCTCCGACCCCCAGCCCCACCCAGGCCTGGGAGAGCTGGGTGAGAGTGGAATCGTCGTCTTTCTCTTGCATCCCACGAACCTCCTTCCTACACACAGACAGTGGAACAATTAACATTTGTAAAATGCAACCAGATCTAAGATAGAGCATAAAAATTTTTTGCTTCCATTCAAAATGTGCATGATTTAATGCAGTACACACTTGGCAAGGTCGACTCTGTGCATAGCCAGATAGAGCTGGACTCTCATGGCTGCCCTGAGGGAAAGAGAGACAGAGAGAGAGAGTTGAAAAAGAGAGAGGAGAGATGTCACACCCACCCCTCCAGAGATTCGGCCTGGTTGAGGCAGCGGAGGGCGGAGTCAAACTTCTGTTCGTAGTAGAAGATGGAGGCTGCCATCAGGAGGAAGGTGTCGTTGTCTGCGTCCACTCCGGCATTGATCTTAGTCTCCAGCTCCTTCAGCAGAGCCTCTCTGAACACCAATGGAAGCATAGATATTACGGAAGATCCTACAATCATATTCTCACCGTTTCCCTCGGCTGTGGAGATACTGGGCCAGCAGCTTCACTGCCTGCAGCTCAGAGGCAGACGACGACTTGACTTCGTCAATGACGACGGCGTACTTCCTCTGAGCGATGTATGCTCTGTACATCAGGACGTCGCGTTCCACCCCCAGGGCAGCCGTGGGGGGCTTTATTTAGAGAAACACACGTGAAGTCTTTAGTTTTGAGCGGCGGGACGTGTGGTTTAGAGACCTACCCTTATCTTCTGCGCCTCCGTGATGCAGTGCTGGTAGTTGCCTAGGTAGAATGCCGTACGCACCTCAAACAAAACGTCAACGTCAGAACTCGCCATTTTCTTTGTTCAAAATTCCACTCCGTGACAATTCGTTAGTTTAGAACATTACAAACAGCAGCGACTCCTTGCTTGCAGGTTAGGCTGAGCTCTCCTAACCTTCGTGTTGTGGTCTGGGTAAGATGCAACGCTCGGCCAACAGCCTGGGGAGGGAGGAGAGAGATGAGGCAACTAGAAAAAGCTCTGATCTTCGCCGGCGCATGTCTATAGTCATGTACACAGTCATTTTCCTCTACGCTGCCGCATTCTGGATCCAGACTGGAGTGTTACCAGTGAGTACAAACAACAGACCCCACACCTTCCCTCCACCGCCTCAGTCCCCTGCAGTTCCTCTCCAAGAAGCTGGGGGACAGACCCTGTAATCTTTGGCTATATGGAGACAGTGTTTGCAGTTGCTATGCTCCTCGGAGGACCTCTGTTTGGTCGCTTTGGAGACATCTTTGGAGCCAGAGCTGCTCTGCTGCTGGCCTTCCTGTCCTGCCTCTTCACCTACCTCATCCTCTCCTTTGCCACAGGACTCCCGGCTCTGTTCTTCTCACGCATCTTTGCCTTCATGATGCACGCAATGCATGGTACAGCCCTCCCACTTTCCCACATTGACACTATTGCACAATTAGTTTTCACTCTGAAATTGGATGAACAATCTGGACAGGGGCCCAGATGGTAATGACTGATGTATCTGGAGCTAAAGACAGGGCCGACGCTCTTGGTAAACTGGGTGTGGCTTATGGAGTCGGAATGGTGGTCGGACCACCAGTTGGAGGTCTGTGATAATCACTAGGGGCTCCCCCTGATGTAATCCTCAACTGCTCAGGGTATGTGACTGTATACTTCAGTGAGCAATCGGCGGCAGGTGTTGCAGCTGCTCTGTGTGTGGTTTCCATGGCAATAGTTGTCATGTTTGTACCTCAGTCAACCAAGGACCCATCTCACCTCTCCTCCAGCAGAGATCCCTACAGTGAGACTGAATTGAGAATATTGCAGCTGTCTGTGAAGTTTTAGTGGGGTTTTAGCAAAAGATTTACCTGTCAGTTCACATTTGTGTGTTAAAATGGTGTAGCAGCCAGTGATCTGTATGTATGTGTGCTGTAGACTCTGGAGGAGTGGTGAATGTGAAAGCCATTCTGTCCCTCCTCTCCATACCTGCCGTGGCCTACGTCATTGGCCTCAAAACGGTGATGGGTGTTCCTGCCGGAGTCTTTCAGGCCATGTTCACCGTCGTTAATATAGAGAGATTGGAGTTAACGCCAGAAACCAACGGACAGCTTCTGAGCTATATTGGATTTGTTACCATGGTATGTAGTCTCAAGTTGAGTGCAAACACTCTGGCAAACCTTCAATGATAATGTATGTGATTGTCCATGGAAATAGACTTGAGAGTTGTCTCACGAAATAATTCTGAAGTACCTTCATTTCCTCAGATAATGCAGGGGTTTGTTGTGGGGTATATTGGAAGAAGAGTTAGCGACAAAACTACTCTCATTGGTTCAGTTGTAATTGTGGCTCTCTCTTACCTCGTTCTGGTGAGTGGGTGTGGCTTCCGGGAAAGGGGTTGAGCTTGGTGTGAGTGTCCCCGTTCTGTTCCAGATGGTGACGTCGACACTCTTTCAGCTGTGTCTCATTCTCATTCCAATGATAATGGGAGGGGCTCTCCTCAATACACTCACCAGCAGTGTTATCACAAAGGTGATCAACTTGATTATGATGTTTCTTACTTTTCATGTTTCGAGCGATCCCTATAATTATCCCCCCTTCATTGACTATAGTACAGACTAATTGAGAGAGTGACTAGAAACCTATTTTTTGGGGGAGATTTATGCAGTACTAATATTATAGCAGTAGCCACATTGCATGGTGGAGATGTGTGAATGTTGTTTCCACTGATTCACACACCTCACAGGTGGTCCCCGATACTGCAACAGGGACCAGCCTCGGTCTGAGCATGGCCACACATTCCCTCATACGAACTGTGTCTCCTACTCTTGGAGGCTACATCTACCAGTGGCTGGGCTACCCCGGCTTCGGAGCTCTCGGATTCACTACTGGCTCTCTCATGGCAGCTGTACTTATGCTCAGAGGGGGAATCCCCGGAATTAATTAGCAATTTTCATCAACATCACAATGTATAATGAAGTGCAAACCCTCGGCACACTCCATAGAAATGTGGAACCCATATATACACAAGTGTGGCACCACCACAATTGATGGTCTTGACCATGCATCAAAAAGAACAGCATGTTATGCACCATTTCCATGGATTATTATCAATAGAAATGGGCAGCCCTACAATATCTGTTTGAGGCCCAAAAAATATATAAGGTTGAAAAATTGCCAACCTTTCATCTCTCTATTTTCGTATTACCGGTGGCTTGTTTAGTGCAAAAAAAAATTTGCATGCGCGCCGAGGGTTAATAAAAAAATCTGCCACTTTGCTCTTTTCCTACACCCACAATCATGTAATTTCACATTTTTATGATGACTTCCTTGTTATAAGAGAATCCACACCTATAAATTAAGCCACTAGGCTCCAGTGTACCAATAAAAAGTTAGTTTGAGGAGAGTTTGTAGTGGAGATCTGGGAGTTCCCTCAGTTTAGCGGCGGCTTGTTCTGCAGTCAGATCGCGCTGACTCTGACACAGCATCTCGTAGCCCACCATGAACTTCTTCACCTGTGGGTGTGAGTTCTGGTAACGAAGGGAGGGGAGACAAGCACACACACCGTAGCCGAGCGGAGAAGTGGAGGGAAGTAGAGAGCATGCAGCTGCCAGTGACTGAAGAGAGGAAATGGATAACTCACAACTTTCACCTAGTATGAGGATTTAGGGGCCTAAACTGCCATTTGTCAAATTTCTCAGCAGAGGATTACTACATACTCACGGGCAATCTTTATCACGCTGAGGTCCAGTAGGAGCACCTGTATGGAGGAGAGTATACTGAGTGGGTGCGGCAATGGGTGTGGTCTTGGTTACCTTGCCAACCCATGGAGTAGGGGAAGGAACACTCGTACAAGTTGTCGTATTTCGTCAGCAGCTGCTTCATGGCCACACAGAGGTCTGGGGAGAAAGAGCAGGAGCGGGAGAAGGAAAAGAAATGTGAGATGAGGCTAGTTTACCATCTCTCTCGCTGTCAGTCAGGTCTGGAAACCGCTGGACGTGTCGTCGTGGCATCAGAAGAGTTTCAAATGGCCACACAGCCCTGGGTGGAGAGAGGTATTCAGTGGAGAGAGAGAGAGAAGAGACAAGTTTCACCTCACCAGAAAGGAACCACTGCCAGCCAGTGTTCAGTCTCCACCACAATTCTTTCCTGGAGCAAAGAGAGAGAGAGAGGGTGTGGTAGTGTTCGTTGGCTCTGTTCTCACCTTCTTCTTCAGCTCCAGCTGCACGTAGTCCAGCAGCAGTGGAGCACCGTGTTCCTCATAGTACTTCAACTGGTTGGCATCCTGTGAAAGAGACACATACAATTAGTATGGGTAGACTTCAATAATGAAGGCAATATGCATACAATTCCAGTGCATGAACGTAGGGACCAATAAAATACTTCTCAGCAAAGGTCTCCTTTCTTACGGTTTTCAAGAAAGTTCCAAATGCACACATATACCTCCCTTGCCCCTCTAATCAACTTACAGATCGTCCAGGTTCATTTGGCATGAAGCTGGAGGCCCATATCTACAGACAGGAGAGAGAGAGAGACATTTCTCAATTTCCAAGGAAAGCAGGAGAGCAGCTGACCTGACAGTGGGGGTGGGGGTTGGAGCAGCCCATTACCTTCCCTCTGTTCTCAAAGACCTGTACCCACAGGTAGCTCCGGCCCAGCTCCGTGATCTGATTGGCCCATTCGTCGACGACTCGTCTGATCTCTGGCAGCGCCATCAGCGGCAGAGTGAGGTCAGATCGCGGGTGGAAACACATCACACGACTGTAAAGACAGCAGGAGAGGAAATATACAGCCAGCAAGACATTTAATATCTGGCTCACCAGGTGCCTTGAGCTTTGGCTGCTCTCAGTAGATGATGTTCTCCACTCTCACCTGACAATCACGTGATAATCACGTTAGTCTGATAAATTACAGGGGCTTACCCAGGTCGGGAGCACCAGGAGGCATGGCTGGGAAGTCATTGGTGAAGACGTAAGTACTGTCATAGTCAGGATTTACCTACAGGTGTAACTGGCATCTATGGGACCGGAAGGAGAGGTTTACCTCTCCATTGGCACGGACAGCTCGGGGACAGAGAGGGTTTTTAGGATCGTGCGGTGGAACTACCTCGTCCCCTCCTTTCTCCACCTGAGAGGTCCAGGACTAAGAGAGGACTTACAGTTATGGAGTCCTACCTGGCCGCTCCAGGGACGCTTCAGGCGGTGAGGGGAGACCAAGACCCACTCCCCTCGCAGAGGGTTGAACCTCACGTGCGGCTGGTCTGCGCTAACTCCCACTATCGAGCTCCATTTTGCAGCCATTCTAGCCCGAACCTTCTCTATTTAGTGCCCAGTAAAGATCACGTGCGCTGCTTTTGCGCGTGCAAAAAGCCCATTCTTCTCTGGTCTGGTGCGATGAGAAGAAGCGAAGATGTCGTCTTTCTCTGTGGCCACTCTGCAGGAAAAGATGAGTCGACTGTCCGCCTCTCAGGAGAGCATCGAGACACTCTCGCTGTGGATTATCCACCACAAAGCCTTCGCCAAGACGTCTGTCGCAGTCTGGGCTACAAGTTTCACCAGTGGTGAGTTCTCTCACACGAAAACCCACGTAGAACGTGCCTCTGAACGCGACAAATGCTCAGCTTTGGTAGCTTCGGTAGCTTCGCTAGAACGTTTTGGCACCTGTTTCTAATTATTTCCCACCTCGATCGAGCATTGAGGGCTGCCTTCGTATTGTTCTGTGTAAAGACCTTTGGAGCCCTGCCTGCTCAGCTGCCCTGCCTGCTCAATGGCAGCACACACCTTCTTGATAACAGTGTCATGGGTCCCGCCCTGAGCAACTCTGCTGCCTTGTGTGTTACCATGTTCTGCAGCTGATGCTGACCATCGGTTGGTGCTGCTGTACCTGGCAAACGACATCCTCCAAAACAGCCGCAGGAAGAGTGCCGACATGTTTGGGGAGTTGTTCCGTGATCCTCTGCGGCAAGTCGTGCCCCACATCTGGTGAGTCATTGATTCACAAGACCACCAGTGTACAGAGAAACCCCTGCACAAGGGGTCCACTGAAATACCCTTCATTCTGAGGTGTTCCTTTTTCAGAACCAAGTGTCTTTTATAGAGAGGTGTCCTTATTGGATGTTTTACTGAAGTCCACCCACTGTGTGTGTGTGTGTGTGTGTGTGTGTGATCAGTGGGCAGAAGATCCAGAGCTCAGTGGAGAGGATGCTCAGAATATGGCGGGAGAGAAAGGTCTACGACAAGGCCTTTGTGAAACACTTGGACCAGCTACTGTGTGGTAGCCAGTCGGAAGAAGAAGAAGGTATCTCTCTCTTTTCCAACCTGGTTTGAGAGATGATGCTTTATTCTTGTTCCTCAGAAGTTGCTGAGACAGCAGTGAGCGTGACCACGCCTCCTCCAGAGCCAATGCCTGATTTCAAGGTTTGATGGTCGTATTAGTTAACAACTCTTCTATTGTCACTACATTCTCCCCACCCATTGTACTGTGTCACTGTAGCTGTCTCTGTTGGAGGATGCAGTGCGGGAGCTGAGTAAGTTCCAGGGAGAAATGAGAGTCAAAGAATCCAGTGTTGACAGTCTGCCAATGGATGTGTGGGATTCCTCCAGTCTCAGTCTTCTCAAAGG